ATAATACATGTTACACCTGTTACCACGTATACACGGGTGATACATATAATACACATTACATGCATAACACGTGTTACACGCTAACACGTGTTACACGCTAACATGTCATAACACGTGTTGCGCGCTGACTGAGGTACTTACATGGGTTCATACTGGTCCCTACAGAAGTGGTTGACAATGGAAGTGGTTGACATGGTAGAATTCAAGGCCAGATCTTCCACAGCTTCGTCAGTGAGCCTTCAAAAGTATATGAATGCAAAGAAAATGGTCCTGTGAGCTTGACCAAGCCTGATAAAGAGAGTGGGGGCAGGAGAATGAAGAAGGAGTTGAATGGAGAGAAATCTTCTATCTTTCCACAGAAACAGTCTTCTTGGCTTCAACAAAGCCATACCACATTGCCTACTTACCCACAATGATGGTACTATCTTCAAATAACAACAGAAACCTCTGTATCCTTCAAACAAACAAGAGAAGAGAGGTTGTTGTCATGGTGGTTCTTTGTGGTGGAGATTGGTGTTGAAGCCATTTTGCGAACGGTCACTCGAACGGTCACGGTGGCTGGCTGGCGACCGTGTAATACGTGTAATACGTGTTATACGTATTATACGGGAATACGTAGAATACGCATTGTACGTATTACATGTATTACATCGCGTGCGTTTGAGGGTCTCTCCAGCAATGTACATGTAAAGACTTGGGTTAAAGGAATCATAAATACATGGGTTGAAGGAATCATGTCCCATCGCAACATCTGAGATTCTTTGGAGGAACAAGTACAAGCAGCCAATCTACATGTATGAGAAGACACTTACTTCATTATGCTTCCAGACGCAACAGCGCAGTTTTTATCCTGTTTTCGAAAGGCTTTAAAGTACATGACACACACTAACAAAGTAGTAATCTACTGGTGCCGGTACATCGTACCCAGTTCGCTTCTCAATCCCATTGTTACACTATATAAACCAGGGAGCTCTACTCGTGTGGTTCATTCATTGCCTCCTGCAGAGAGTGGTAACCCTCACGGTCCGGTGTGTCATATGTCTTGTCCCAAGCCCATGGCTCATCCTTGTCACTGTATCGTTCGAGTGCGTGAGTCTGAAAGGGCATGGGCACAGTGGCGGTTCCTGGAGCTTGATTGCCGTCCAAAAACGGCACGAGCTTTTTCACCCCCACGGTATCCGGCGACACAAAGACCCCCAACTCCCACGATTTGACATGAAGGTACTTCTGGCCATTCTTTGTACTGATGGTCCCCCAAGCCGGTCGAGAAATGTTGTGTGAGGTCACTACCAGCCAATCAAAGCCATCCTGGCTGTCGTTGGTCTGGTAGTAGGACTTGATGTGTGGGACATAATTGGGCTTGGCCAATGGATTCTTGTCGCTGCCACGAGACGATGTCCACTTGCGCCAGAGTGGATCCAGAAATGGTTTGCGGACAGCATCGTGTCTTCCTGGCACAGAACCCCCACCAGCATATCCTTCCACCGAGTCTCGAATTTCCCCTGCCGTTGGCCAGACGAATTTCAAGCGCAGATCAGATGCCGTCTCGCCCGTTTGTGCAGAGTGCGTATCCATGGAGCTTTGTAGATCTTTCAAATACGGGACGGATGTGACTCCAATGGATGAAAATTGACAAACGACAGGACGGAGATCGGTGGCAGTTGCTGTGGACGTGCATCGGCGAATGGTATTGCGCAACTTGATTTGCCCCATGGCTTGTGGTACACGACTATTCCCATGGTCGTCCATGTCGTAGTATCCCGGGACGGATGGAATCAAGACGCCTTTGGCGCCGGAGTAATCATAGCGTGCCAGCGCTTCTACCAAGGTTTCCCGTGCCTTTCCCGTCCAGTTTCTCTGTTTGTGGTATCCGTAGGATTCCATATAATGGACCAGCGTTTCCTCAAAGTCAATGGTCGTTGTATCACCTTCCTCCTCCTTTTTCTTTGGAAACTCTTCGACATAGGCTGCATTGACTTTGACATGATCCCCGCTTCGTAGATTGCCCGTACTAATGACGACACGAATCTTGTTGCTGTATCCCACCAAGAACATTTTGGTGTGGTGTGTACCAAAGGGGAACTTGTATCGCAGCGGGTTAATGGCAGTATTGGGATCGGCTCCTGGATTGAGTTGTTGGAAATCCACCGTGGCAGGCCAATCGGTAGGGGAGGGTTGCTTGTCTGTGTGAAAGATGACGGCATTGGGAATGGATCCATTGACCAGTTCGGGCAAGAGTTCTTTGAGATTTTCAAATTCAATGAGGTAGTTGGCCATGGCCATGAATGAAATGCTAGAGGTGTCGTTGCTGCTGTTTGACAGTACCAGTTCCCGTGGCGTTTGGCATTGACTCCAACACCAATGCGATCGATCCGGGACGCATTGTCGCATTTGGATATCACCGGGTGTGGTCAATAGTTTGATGGGAGCTTCCATCCGGGTCGTAGTCGACAGGATCGTTGGTCGATGCGTCGTGTTGATTTTGGGTGCTGTTTTGGTCTTTTTGGGATTGGATTTCTCGTCGTCATCGTGGTGGTTCTTGACAGGAGGACGGTGCCGCTTGGGATGCGCATTTTCTTCCTCACTGCTGCTGCTGGTGCTGCTATCACTATCCGACATCATGGTACGCTTTGTCTCTTTTTTGGCAGTAGTCGGATCCATGACGGTGAGGAGTGCCGCCTCCAAATGTTTGCAGACTGGTACTTGATTTCGGTTGCGTGGATCCTGATTGCGCAATCGATCAAAGGCGACACAGGCACAATGCACAATCATGGCACGACCCGTGGCCAAATCTCCCTTCGCCGAAAGCTTGTAGCTGCTGCCCGTGCCTTGCGCCTTCCAATGAAACTCAAAGCCCGTGGGCCCCGACGCTCCAGCGGATACCAGAGTCGGAGTGTCGGCCGTTTGGCGGGAATTGACCTTGAGGAAATGATCCTTGGTTAGACCAGGAATCCATTTGGGAGCAGCAGCATTGGATTTCACAGTTTCCTTCTTCTTGAGGTTCGCTTTCTTCTTGTCATTTTTGGTCGTCAGTTTCTCTTCTTTCTTGTGTTCCACCACTAGTAGTAAATCTCGGTCTTGAATCTTGGCGTCTGCGAGCGTCATTTGCTTGTCGGCATTGAGGCGGACGTGCTGACGGCGCAAGGAGATGGCGGAGGAGAGTCCGAATTTTCGTCGCGCCAATTGATGCAATTCTTCCAGTGTCGTCCCATGCGGATCCAATGTCACCTTCTCTCGCTTCTTGGACAAGGATAAGCAGATTGTAATTGTCATGGTGGTGCTTGAGTTTGATTCGATTCATTTGGTTTTCATACACTTACTTTTCAATGCCACAAGCAATTTCCAGCAAATGACAAATAATGAAATGATCCGAGTGTGATCTTTTTGGGCGAAATATGAAAGTTGCGCCCGAATAATTCGACCTTTTCGATGTATCATTCGATCATCCGGCTCTTCCTGTCCACTCGTGAATTATCATTCGTGATTAAAGTACGTTTTTGGCTCTTCTTTACAAAGATTGACACCAACACCTCACCAACCTCCTTGGATTTTCTTTGGAGCTGAGCAAAACCCAACTGTCCAACAGATCCCTTGGGCTTCCCCATCTTATATGTCTCTACAACGGCAAAGACAACCGAATGAGCAAAAGAACCATGGCTCGTGGTAGTAGAAAGCAGCAGATAATTGGCCGCACTTGTCTGCTACCCATCCTAGTCGCGATCCTTTGTCCCACGGCCCAAGCTCTCGTGGGTCGTCCTGCACAGCATCATTTGTCCACACATCATTATTTTGGTACCAGTGGACAACGGTATCATCATTATTCCCACCTGATATCCAATGATGCGAGAAGAAGAAGGAACGCTTTTGGGGTAGTGCTACAAGCAGAACGAGAAGTTGAATATCTAAATTCAGAATCTGAGGGATTGGAGCAAAACAATAACAATGATGAAGATGGCGGCAAAGAAGAAGATGAGGAGGACGAGGAGGAAATGATATCATCTGGAGAAGATTACGGAAAACAATCACTGCTGGAAATTTACGCCCGCGATCGAAAATGGCTGGAAAAGGCCACCGACATGATCCTAGATCACCCCCTGGGAGAATTGACACCCGATGATATTGACAACATGACCACATTAATGGCGGCATGGGTACATCGACGATCCGCCGAAGGAGCCATTGCCGTCGAACGACTACTCAAACGCGTCGTGGACGACATGAGAGCCGACAATCCACAAATTCAAGTCAATCCGAGAATGTACGAACTCGCCATGGATGCATGGGCTAGAAGTGGAGCATCGGGATCGGCCGAACGAGCCCAACAAATTCATGATATCATGGCACAGACGTATGCCGATACGGGGGATCCCACCATGCGGCCCACCACCAATACGTACAATATTCTCATTGCGGCCCATGGTAAACGAGGGGATGGACTCGATCAGGCGGAAACTATCTTGCAAGAAATGATCCATTCCGGGACCAACACAAGTTGTTTTCCCGACACGTTTACCTTCAATACACTCCTGGGGGCCTATGCCAGATCCAATGACACACAGAGAGCCATGGAACGAGCACCCGAACTAATGGAATTGATGCAAGAGCTGGACATTCCGCAAAATGCTTATACATTTACGGCACTCCAAAATGTGTATGCCACATCGGGACACTCTGATTCGGCAGTCAAAGCCTTGCAGGTGCTCCAGACCATGCTCTCCATGTACGGGGAAGGCAATGTACTGGCCAAACCTTCCATTGCCAATTACAATGCCGTACTGACGGCGCTGTCACGCAGTCACCACAGCAAACAATCGGCCGAAATGGCCGCGGCCATTCTCGAAAAAATGGAGAGTGAATGGGATGTCCGACCGGATCGCATGAGTTATGCCTTGACCATTTTGGCATGTGTGCGCTGCAGAGAAGATTATGGTATTGAAAAGGCCGAAGAGCTCCTGCTCAAAATGGAAGCGCGAGCAGAAGAAGATGAACGAAAGAGACAGGAGGTTTCCAGTGCCGCACCGCCCAGTGTCGTGTTGGATGCCGAATGCTTCAATGTCATCTTGACAGCCTTGTCCAAGAGCGCGGCACCCAATGCCACTGAACGAAGCATTGCCATTATGGAACGTATGAAACAACATGCAGCAGGTAAGTCCAGGACGTTATCATTTTGTGTGTGTGTGTGTGTCGACCATCACCAGGATGGCAGCTCACAAAAACACTTGTTTTCTGCAGCGGGACACGATGGGATCATGCCCACCATCCGATCTTGGAATGCCCTGCTCAATACCATATCGCGATCCAAAGCCGACAATGCTGGCCACAAAGCAGAACAAATAGTGAAACACATGCTTGAATCGTACAAGAATGGGATGCCCAATGTTCAGCCAAATGCATACAGGTAAGTACTGTAGACTGGTATGGAGTGAAACTCTTGCAAAAGTTCTATTCTATTCTCACCAGTGTGCACCGACAGTTTCACAGCTGTGTTACATGGATTCCAAAGGTCCCGTGACCGCAATGCAGTCCATCGCGCCGATGAAGTGCTTCGATGGATGGAACGGCTCTACGAGGATAAAGAAATCCAGGACCCACCAGGTGAGTGAACGAAATTGTGTTGCTCGCACAACATCATATATATATATATATATCAGTATAATGCTTACAAATTACTTTTAGACGTATTTCACTACACCATCGTTTGTAATCTCTGGTACCGATCCAACTTGCCGGAGTCACCAAAACGAGTTATGCAAATCTTGGGGCATATGACGCAAAGAGCCAAGCAAGGGTTCCCTGAAGCAAAACCCAACGTAAAGACGTATCGAACCATACTCCAGTGCTTGGCGAAAAGTGGGAGACCGGGGGAAGCAGAGGGGCTGCTGGACAGTCTCATTCGCTTAGAAGAACGAGGAGACGAACGGTACCTTGATGAATACACCTTCAATTCACTCATTAGCGCGTTGTGCAGGAGCAAAACAAAAGGTGGTGGCAAACGAGCCGAGGCAATATTGGAGAGAATGCTGGACTACAGTGAGGACCGACCAGATTGCAAGCCAGACATTCGCAGCTTTACCAATATCATACTGCACTACAAAATCAGGTAGGTGTGGGAGATGGCGTGATAAGATGCATGCAGTTTGTATTGGGCTGCGTTTTCCTGAACCATTGCTTTTCTTCCAACAAAACACAGTACTCTCCCGGACGCTCCTTACAAAGCCGAGTATCTGCTCAACCGAATGGTGTCACTTTTCAAATCAGGATACTTTCCCGATAGTCAACCCGACAACTTTGCCTTTGAAACGACAATGAACGCCTATTCCAGTGCCAAACACAAAGATTCTGGAATCACTGCGGAGCGCATGCTCAAGCAAATGAAAGACTTGCGCGAAAACTATGGTCTCTCCAACAATCTGCTTATTGACGGTAGTATCATGAGAGCCGTCCTGTTTGCATGGAGTGTTTCCGGAGACGAAGATGCCGGACGTCGTGCCGAGTACCACCTAGATTACATGGAACGAAAGTACGCGGCAGGCCAGCGAGACCTCAAACCCGATACCCGTTGCTACCGACTGGTCTTGAACGCGTGGGCCAAGTCGGATAGCTTTGAAAAGGCTCGACGAGCTTTGGGTGTCTTGAAACGAATGGAGGATCAAATGGCCAAAGGCAACGATGCGGTACATCCCAATGTCGTTTGCCATTCCTGTGTCATTAACAGCTGTGCCTTTACCAAGTCGAGCGAAGAAGTGGAAACCGAGGCCTTTCGCATTGCCGTGACTGTCTTGGACAAAATGTTGGCCTCGAAGGATTGCCAACCTTCCTCCCTGACGTATGGATGGTTCATTCAGGCATGCGGGAGACTGCGAGCATCGCAGGACTTGAAGGAAGAGCAGGTTACACGAGCCTGGAAGTTATGTTGTGAGAAGGGACTGGTCGATGGATTTGTGATCCAGCGAATGACAGGAGCCACGTCGGAACGCCTGTATAGAGAGCTGCTGGGGCCTGTTTTGGAGAAGCTAGACAGTGTAAACCCCAATGCTACAACAAAGGAGGAACTGAAGCACCTGGTGACCATCTCCAGCTTGCCCTCGGAATGGACAAGGAATTGTAATCAAGATGATGAACGGGAGAAGCATTTTCCATGGCTTTCTAATAGGCTTTCTAATAGAACCACAAATTTCTAACTGCTACACTTAGACTGCTGTTGTCTGTTGCTGAACAGCCACACAAAGAAACTTGTACAGCGTAGACGAAGACTCGACTCGAGTGACTCACAACACCTGCAGAGTAGCACCGCTCGGGCAACATCAAAACTACTCCCATTGCCTGCTTCCTCCTAGCCAGCTTGCTACCGAAGCTAGCTAGATAGGGTAACCAGCTACCTGTACCGGTAGGATATCCTTGACCTTCTGGGACCTAAAGTCCGTCGAAGGGACAGATCGATCCGCAGAAAGAGACCCGGAGATCCAAAGCAAGTTGAAGTCTCGCGATCAGCCATGTCATTGTATCTCCTTCCACATCATCCCACATTCCACATGGACAGGTAGAATCTCAAAGAACCAAATAGAATTTCGGAGCTGGAGCTGTTGAAACTTCAACAACTATCCTAGCTTTCCCAATGGTTAGCAATTACGCAAGATTAGTACCAGTGGCTACCTGTTGACCAGTGACATGGGTGATGCTAGGGTGAGGGCGAATCGTACGCCGTTTGCAGCACACTGGCTCCGAGGAACCCGAGAAGGGCCGAACAACACCCAAGGAGAAAACACAACACAAGCAACTTCACCTGTGAGCATTCGTCGGCGAGCATTCTGGAAGGAAGACACACTACAGATACCACAAGCAAGCAAGCAAGCAACAATCTATTCTTCTCTCTTATAAAACTCTAGTTAGCTATATACAAGATGAGATTCAGCAGTGCAGCGTTGGCGTTTTCTCTGGTGGTGGTTGGTGCCTTGAGCCCCTCGAGTGCGTTTGTGGCGTCTCCTGCCATCACTTCTTCCAGATCATCGGCAGCCGTAGCAACTCCTGCTACGGCTCTCTCCATGGTGGCCACCAACGAGGTTGTCACGAGCGAAGCCAAGCCACGAAAGACACGAGAGGTGAGTTGAATGGCAACTATCCTGACAAGAGCGGAAGTTTTGAAGTGTTTTGGGTCTCACAATTTTGCGTTTTTCGTTTTTCTTTAATTTTTCAGGAACGTCTCCAACTGGCTTCCAAGGGTCTTCAAGTCCACGTGGTCGGTCTCTCCATTCACCACTGCAAAGTAGAAGTCCGTGAGAAATTGGCCATTGCCGAAGCCGAGTGGAATGCCGCTTCCAACGAAATTATTGCCGATGGCGTCGTGGCCGAAGCGGCCGTCTTGAGTACCTGCAATCGCTTTGAAGTCTACTACTCGGCATCCGATCCTCGCGCCGCCATGGCCAGTGTCACGGAATACTTGGCCCAACGATCCGGTCTTCCCGTGTCGGTCCTTCGTCAGAATCTATTCATGCTGTCGGGAGACGATGCCGTCTGGCACATTATGCGAGTCTCGGGAGGATTGGATTCCCTCATTGTGGGAGAAGGACAAATTCTATCCCAAGTTCGTCAGTGCTACTTGCATTCCGTCGAAGAAGATGGATGCGGTGGAAAAGTCTTGGCCCGGCTCTTGAACAATGCCTTGGCGGCTGGAAAGCGCGTTCGTTCCGAAACGGCCATTTCCAAGGGATCCGTCAGTATTTCCTCGGCCGCCGTCGAACTCTCCGAAATGCTCTCCATGCCTGACTTGAATCTGCCCTTTTCGGAAGCTCGTTTGACCGTCGTGGGAGCCGGAAAAATGACCCGATTGCTCGTTATTCACTTGGCATCGCGTGGTTTGGAAAAGATTACCATTGTCAACCGATCCGTGGGACGACCTCAGGAACTCCAGGAAGAGTTTCCCGATGTCGATATTGAAATCAAATTGATGGATGACTTGTGGGATGTCGTGGGACGCTCCGATATTGTCTACACAGCAACTTCTTCCGTCGATTATGTTGTGGACGAACAAAAACTAGAAGAAAATGGATTGGCCAGTGGAAGACCTTTGATGTTGGTGGATATTTCCGTTCCTCGTAATGTCAACGATGACTGCAAGAATGTAAGCAATCGTGTTGCTTGTCTTTTTATATCTGTTTCGATTTCATCATCTCACTTTTCTTCCGCCTTACCTTGCCTGCTTATTATGGTACAGATTGAAAGTGTTACGGCCTACAGTGTCGATGACCTCAAGGCTGTTGTCGCCAAGAACACTGCCATGAGACAACGCGAAATGATCGAAGCCGAAAACCTCCTCCGGGAAGAAGCCGACGCCTTTATTGGCTGGAGGGAGTCTCTGTCGGCCATCCCCACTATCAATCAACTCCAGGAACGTGCCAACACGTTCCGTGAGGAAGAATTGCAAAGGTGCACTCGCAAACTCTCCAATGCCAACTTGAACGATAAGGAATTGGAGGCTGTCGAACGCTTGTCCAGGGGAATTGTCAATAAACTCTTGCATGGACCCATGGCACATCTGCGCAAGACAGAATCGGTAGAGGGAAAACAGGCTACTTTGAAGGAATTGAATGCCATGTTCCGCCTCGACGAGGAAGCTAATGGACGTGGAAGAAGCAACCGCAGAAGATAGATGGGTTGTCTTCTTACTACTACTCTAGAGAGAAATGGAAATCGTGGCGGCTAATGCTACGCTACGTGTACAGTAAACAACAAACAAAACAAAACCTTACAGTAATTGCCTATAGATTCAACCTTCTGTCTTCCATGATGCGTTACTTCTAATAATGGGTTGTAGCTAGCTAGTAGTGACCACTTTTGAGACTTCTCGGCGATTCCATTGCCTCTCTTTATGGAGTCCTCAGTCAGTTAGTTCGAGCACCCTCGTCGTAACGGTATCACATCTAAGGCAGACATTACTACCGTATCCAGCTAGTAGCTCGACTCGAAACGACTCAGTACGTAGGACTTCCTCCTCGATAACTCTGGGCACTGTCGGTGGACGGAGCGTCATGCACGACCTCATCGTCTGGATCATTGGCATTGTCCCCTCTCATGGTTTTCTCCAGCCGTTCCAGCGCCCTCTGAGCTTCTGTATTCATTGGATTCATGGAAAGAGCCGTATGAAAGGAGTGGATTGCATCGGTGTAATTGTCCGCCAACACATAGATTTGCCCCAACCGACTCTGCAATACATCCTGTCCCTGGAGGCTACTCTGGGCATTGGTCAATCCCTCAATACCCTGTTGGAGCAACTGAATACAAGTTTCGTAATCCTTTTCTTGCTGGTAAATTGTCACCAATGCCATGAGAGGCCGCAACGAGCTTGGATCCAACATGAGCGCTTTCCGTAGTGCTCGCTTGGCTTTGGCCATGCCTTCTTCTCCATCCGGACTCCGCAGCTGTCCTTGTGCCAGAGCCAACCCGACCAATGTAATGGCTCGAGGGTCTCGGGGTGCTGCCGAAATGGCTTCCTTCGCAGCACAAATGGCCTCCTTGTACTTGCCAGCAGCCAGGTACGAATCTACAAGGCCCTCATAACTCGTGACATCGGGAGCCACTTCGTTGGATCTAAAAAAGGAGACTGCCGCATGATCCGGGCGATTGTCGGCTAAAAGAATGGCACCCCGCAAGCGATGAGCAAAGGCGTGTCGTTGGTCCATGCTAATGGCTTTTTCCACAAATGCCAGGGCCTTATTATACACCGATGTGCAGGACAATGTTAGCAATTAATTCATTGGCAAATGTGAATAGCGCACAACACAACTTTCTACCGAAACAGGAATGAATCCTACCTTTTCATGATCATTGCGACTCTCATGGTACAAGGCCAGAGTAGCCCAAGCTTCGGGTCGTTTGTCATCCACATCCAACAAGTTGGAGGCCAACTGGTTTAATTCATCTTGGGCATTTTTGCGTGCCAAAATTTGACCGTATTGATCCATACACTCGACATTGGTGTCTTCCAACTGTCTCACTCTGGCGAACGTCCTGGCGGCCCCTTCCTCATCATTCATTTGATGCTGGAGGGTAGCAATTCGTAGTAACAAATAGACATTATTTGGAAAGGTCCGTTCCAAAGCAACGAATTGCTGTAGAGCATTGGCTGTTTGGTGTCGATGTTTGGCAAAATGTGCATTGACCATATCCACCAAAGGCAGCAAGGCATTATCCTGCAAAGAGGCATTGCGAGCGACAAACCCTCGATTGATGGCTTCCAATACTTGTGATTTGTCGGCTCCCAGAGTGGCCAGCCATTCCACAGCTTCCAAGACATATGGATTCTGCACCAGACTTTCCAAAAAGGATTCAATGGCTGTATCATTCCGCCCCGAAGCCAGATATAAGTTTCCCAGCGTCATGTTCATTTCCAGAGATCGGGCCGTCTTGGGTACCATTTCGAGTACAGCCGATGCCTCTACTACATTTCCCAGCGCCTGAAGACACTGAGCTTCTTTCCATCGATACGTGTGTGACTTCATGCGACGATAAAAGGAAACAGCCCGTCTGTATTGTTGGGTGGCATGGGCACAATCGGCCATGAGAGCCCACGCCAACCGTGGATCCCGTCCTTCTTGCTCCGCCTTGGCAAGTTCCATTCGAGCTGCTACTTCGCAGCTCTTGTACTGTTTGGACTTGAACAAATCGACACATTCGCGCTGCAGAGGTGTCGTTGGGAGCTCTGGATCGGTATACACAGGGTCGTCCATGGTGGAATATAATAGAAATGTTACCGTCTGGAAAGTACGCTAGTACCGTAGTCAGTCAACTGGAAAGCATTCGATTTCAAATGACAAGTGCAATAATAAATTCTGGTGTCACAAAATCTTGTTAGGAGTGCGACGAGCTTTGGGTTAGCTAGTTTAGATACTTAAAAATATTTGTCCTGAACCCTAACAAGAGAACATGTGCAGCTGTGCTGTCTTCTTTTTTGGACGCAGGGTGACACCGGTACCTCGCGCGTTAGACGCCAAGATCCCCTGTAACCTGTGTGGAACGAAATTGGTTACTCTCAGTCGATGTGAATCCATGCCTACCACGAGGTCCAAAGAGCTGCGTCAACCAGACTGTACGATTGTCGACATGTTAAACCATCCCTGTTAATTTAATTTTAGCCAGTGCCTGTATCCTCTCATCAATTTTGCTGCTCGTTTGGCCTCCGTCAAATGTTATCCTCATGGTTGGATAGAAACATATCACCAAAAACTTAGTTAACAAATTCGTCTAGTCACAGCGATAAGCAGCGACCTCTGCGCGACGGCCTCCAAGGAAAGAGTTGTCCGTCCGGCCTGGTTTTGAATTGTCAGCATCGCATCCCGCAACACGCAACACGCAAGTAGCTACCTCCGTTACTGTACCTACCCATTCCAGAGCCAAGCCCAGAGCAGAGGAGGAAGGGGCGAGGCATCAGTGCAGCTCTCCATGAAGCGCACCATGTTCCTATTCGGCCTGAGCCCCAAGGAGCAGGGCTCAGGTACGACAAGGAGAGGGTGGACCCAGTCATTCCGGCAGGTGACTGTTTTAGAAGGGAGGAAGAGGCTCCGGGAGGAAGATCAGGTGGTTGATGGGTCGTCGACGTTGTTTTGCAGTGGCGTGGCTGCTGTTGGGGGAGGCAATAGGACCCCGACTCTAGTATGTTCACGGAGAAGAATGCCGCCTGTGGGTGTCGATGAGCATCAGGTGGACCATGGGGACCGGCCTATCAAGCGATTTCGTGGCGAGACGGCTGTGGTAGCTGTCACGGCTCCAAAATCCAAAACACCATTGGAAGCCAAGCCTCAGACGGGTCTTTTAGGCTTGCTGCCAGAAGATGTGGTGTCACACTGTCTGTCGTTCTTGAATACTGTAGAGGACAGATTTGCCTTGCAGACGACCTGTAAGCAATTCCAACGAATATCCAATAGCGACAAGATGTTGGTCAACATACAGATCAGTGGAAACCGAGACACTGGAAAGGGCGGTATCATCCAGGATGATGACACTCCTGAGACAGCTGCGGTTGTTTTAGCTCCATTCTCGAGGGCCGGCAACCTCGAGGCCATTTACATGTAAGTCTTTTGTCTTCTTTGGGGTGGACTGACGTCGGATCTGATGGACTTGCTGTCATCAGAGTTGGAGCGTGGGATAGTAGTAGTGCGCTCATCCATCTGTTGTCTCTTTTTTGTGTTTGCGTGCGTGCGCGGCAGGCTGGGGATGATAAAGAGCTACTGTCATCAGGATGTCGAAACAGGCATTCGCCTGCTAAAAGCTGCTTCTGTTGAGGGCTACGTGCGCTCCTCATACGCCTTGGGCCTGGTGCTGCGGGACTCTCAACCAGAAGAAGCGACCAAATACATGCAGCTCGCGGCCGGAGAAGGCTATCTTCCGGCCTTACAAGAGCTTCTTCCCGCAAGGGAGATGAAAGCAAAATACGGGGAGCCAAATGCAGACGCACTTCGGCGCCACCTAGACCCTTGTTGTCTAAATCATCTCCTGGGGCGACACTATGTACGCTCAGCAGAATTACGAGAATTGAGCACGAGCCATTGCTGGAACCCCCTTTGCGGAAGATGGGCCTTTAAGGCGTCGGTCAACACGAATGTTGCAGCGGCACGCATTCGCAGACCCTGGGGTTTAACGTTTTATCGGAATGGGAACGGAGAAGCACAGCCTTTTGGAACAGGGACTGATGCGACGAGGAACGACAACGCAGCAGGAGGTCAGCAAATTGAAGCCTTGCTCAATCCGAATCAAAATAACATTAGGAACGACAACCACGGAGAAGCACAGGAGCATGATCCAGAACACGGAGAGATTCCTCCTGACGAGAACGGAAACGATAATAATGACGAGAATGAGTCGATGGAGGTGGAGGCAGCACCGCCACAGCCACCACCTCCTCCGGCACCAGCTCCACCCGGAAACAATGATGGAAACGATAACGTTGAAATAGGCGGAGGGGTAGGCGATGACAACAGCACAGCTAATGCTGGTCCACGCGCAGGACCAGCAGATGCGGATACCAGAGTAGATTCTTCTGGCACGTCGGACGAGTCTTCACAATCACAGCCTGGAAATCAGAATCAGAACGGCGACACTGCAGATGGTGCAGCATCGACCGACGTTCGCGTCTCACGCATGAAAATGTGTAGTCGATGCTGCAGAGCCAAGTATTGCAGCAAACTCTGTCAAGTGTACGACTGGAGGTCCGGTCGGCACAAGATGGAGTGCCAATTCCTTTGATGACTGACGAGACATCAACAATCGCTTCCACTGCAAAGGTTGAAGTGTCTATGCCACTTCACCTTGTCGACATCACTATTCATACATACATGTCATGCAGTCAGATTGTCGACGACTCGGTCAAAGGGGAAGAGGCGACGATTCTGATTTCAATGCAGCGCGCGGCTGGGGGGGAAGACCAAAACAAAAAAATGTCCGGCATTCGCATTATGTTGGTGCTGTAAGAATAGCATCTATGTTACACACATTGCAACACACACAAACACAACCTTCGCAACTTGGGTCTGCGACTATATCACAGCGGCTACGAGACCTAAAAGCACCTATTTCACAACAACAAGTCACAATCTATTCGAACCAAAGGCGGACTTGTCCAGCAGTCCGTCCCTTTGGGGTGGGAGCTGCAACAAGATACCTGGGTCGTGATAGCAGCTAGCTAGGTTTACTCTAGCCCTACTTTACCACAAGGCTACGTAGTGATAAAGACTGTAGTCGTATGGTAGCGTACGGTAGACAGCTTTCGTTCCGAACCCCGAAAACTGTCCTGCGGAACCTCTTCTGAGACCAGTGGCTATCCCACTCTACCGTAAGATGATGATGCCACAATATTTGCTCTACCGGTAGCTCTGCAGTCCAACCAAAAGGAAGCCCAATCTGTTTCTTATCAGCACTTATCTGTCTTGAACCGTATACTACACTAGCTAGCTGCTTGAGAGTAGCAACCCTCGCTCGTCTGACTAGCTAGCTACATTACTGGAGTAGCCATTTATCGCTGAGCAGGCAACGCAAGGCCATCTTTTTAGCAAGTGTCTTTGATCCACACAATACCGGTAGCATAGCTAGCTAGTCTAGTGTTATTTCTGTTTGTTACACGTCAAAGGCAAAACTTGACCGTACCCTCTTCAAGTCGCTATTTGCAACCTTCCATTCAGACTTGTCGCATTCCAAAGCCAGGACGTACAAGGCGTCATCCAGAACAGCAGCCGACAGCAGATAGATGGATTCGAACGGGCAGAAACCAAGGCCGAGATTCTCCTTTGAGTCCCCACACGTTTTGGGAGCGAGGGCCATGTCAAAATCGTAAAACTTGATGTCTCCCTGTTTCCTAGATCTTCCGGAGAGAAGATCTGCGCCCTTCAATTCCTTCAAGTCGTCTGTAACGTACAAGGCATCCGCAATTCCAATGGTGGCTGCTTTGGCTAGTCTGTCAGGAGTGACTTTTCCCGGGGCCCTATATACAAATATTCTTTGACAGGCCTTGGCAAGGTTCGTGGTAGATTTGTCGAAATATCCATCGTCCTTTTGTTGCCACTTCTCTGGGACTTTGTAAGACAGACGAACTTCTGATCCGCTATTGGTCCCTGCGCTGTTAGCACCGTCAACATTGACAAAGTATTTTTCAGAGGGGCCGTCCCAGGCAATGCTGACGGATCTGAATTTGGCTTCTTCCACTTCCCCCTTTAAGGATCCATCTGGGTTGAACAATTGGGTAGTCATGTCTCCCTCACCTTCATCCGCCAAGGCCGTAAAGACGGGGAGGAGAGCCATTTGGGAGGCGAACGATCCGCCGGCGAGGAACAATTTTCGCCTAGTGTTGGACGTGTCATCTTCGACTTGATTCGGATCGTCGACAGCATTGATTCTGGTGCCGAACCTTGGTGTGGTTGGGCCTGTCGTCTGAAAAGCTGTGGTACCCACACCTGCCAGCAAAAAACAAAGAGATGCTGCTTGAATCCTCATATTGCTTCGGTTGGACTGGTGCATGTACTGATTGGTGTCTTTCGCTGGTATTCGGTACGATGTAGGTTCCTCGTTGATTGGGTGGGTGAGTTTGCTACGTACATTACGACCCAAGAAAGAGCCGAGTTGCTGTCTCCTTGTCAACAGCTTTGTCTCGCCTTTGTCTCTTTTCTTGGCGCTGGCACTTGCGGAAGATCCACTGACGTCAGTCTTGCGAGGAATGTAAGCTGATAGAGCTGAAATACCAAAGACTCCCTCCTTCCCCTCTTTCCCCCCCTCCAAGACGGCAAGAAGTTGGCTTCTCCTTGTTTGCCACCAATACTGCAGCATAATATATATGTTCACCAAACCACATGCATGCGTACCGGTACGACGTGCGTAACAGAGCCAGTGGGAAACGATGTGAAATGCTGCGCAACTCAAAAAAGTTAGGTACTGTATCTATAAAACTGTTTCAACAGTTGCTGGCTAGCTAGAAAGCATGCACCATCTACTGAATTTTGTGGCACCATCCCTCGGGGCCCTCTCGTCGTCCGTATTGAATACCAGTCACCGCATCCCATATACGCTGTGTCAACTTGCCATCGGCGGGTACATTGATGTCCTGACCTTTGTATTCAATGCAATCAATGGGTGTCACCACAGCAGCAGTCCCGGCTCCAAAAGCTTCCAAGAGTCGTCCTTCTTCGGCCGCCTCCTTGATTTCATGAATGGTGGGTGCCCGTTCTACAACTGTCAAGTCATCCCACGCCTCGGCCAAGGCAATGATACTATCCCGCGTGACACCGGGCAAAATATCTCCCGACGTGAGAGGTGGCGTGATGAGTTCCGGCAGATTGGTTTGTTTGTTTTGAATCAAAAAGAATACGTTCATGGCTCCCACTTCGGTCACGACTTCTTTGTCTCCAAACAACCACAGCACCTGCGAGTATCCTCGGGCTGCTGCGTCAGCTTGCGCCTTCATGGTGGGACCGTAGTTGCCTCCCACTTTGGAATTTCCGGTTCCACCCGGCCATGCACGGACAAAGGGTGTATCGCACGTCAATCGAATGGGTTTGAATCCAGTTTTGTAGTATGGACCGACCGGACTGGTAATGACAAAGAGCAGCAAATCGTTGGGTGGCGCCACACCTAGAAATCGGTGAGTGGCAATGACAGTGGGTCGAATGTAGAGAGAATATCCTTCCCCGTGAGGGATCCATTTTTGATCGACCTTGACGAGTTCTTCAATGAGTTTAACCAATTCGCCATTGTCAAAGTCGGCCCCTGGCATGCTAAGACGTTCCATCGATCCCGTGAGTCGTTCCATGTTCTTGTGGGGTCGAAACAAGTGGAGCGAGTCGGGATCATCAAGAGCCCTGTAGGCTTTCATTCCCTCAAAGCATTGCAGTCCTGACCAGGAAGAAGAGGAACGGTAGGCGAGATTGAGAAAAAGGAGACTATATCGAGGCAAGCTGATGTAGAATTGTTTCTACTTGTTTGATCTTTGGTTGCATTCCTGCACGTACATACCGTAGTGGAGGCAAGAAGCGGCTGGACTAATTCTGAGATCCTCGTAAGGCACAATTTTGGGATCTCCCCATTGATTTTCAACACTCCAGGGAACCATTAGCATATGATCCTTTTTGAAATAATTATGAAAGACAAGGTTCCTTATCTGTGAGAAACATTCCGTTTTGTTTTGTTTTGTTTTGTTTTGTAGTCTTTACGTACCGAAATGGTTTGCCCAAATGCCAAGTCTTCCTTTTTGGGTCGATTCTTGAAGGCAGTATCATCTGTCTTTAATTCCAAAGTGAGTTTCGAGGCTGTAATGGAACGAGTGGCTGTATGCCGATAGAGACAAGGAGAAATCTTGGTTGCTTTCTGTAGAAGCAGGCGGGTAGCATTGCTCGAGAGGACCATGGTTTCGACTTGACAAACCAATTGATGACCTTGTGATATTATCAGCTATAGAATCTGATATAAAGATATGTGCATTCGCAATCTAACTAAGAACAGATAGCTCTCCAAACAAACTATGCTTGATAATATACAAATACAATCGACTCCGAGGTTGCTGGTTACTTTGACAACAGAAGTCAAGATTGTGTCATTGCGCTGACTTCTGATGGCGACCTTTGGGAATTCTTTGTCGGAGCCAGGTGGATCTTTCTTTCAGCTTGCAGAGCTGTGCACTTGTCGAATCTTTCGCTTCCACCTACGTGTACTAGTACTTTCGTAGCTAGCCAGTGGGGACTTCTAGATGGCCCATTAGATTGTTCACCCCAGCAGCATTCACATGATACTTTGTTTGATGTGGTGCTCTACTAGCTAGCCAGAGCACGGACGAGTCCAAACGCTCCAGACCCTGGGGTGTCTACCAGACTTCCAATTGGATTGAACCAAGCTGGTGGGTGGCCTGGCTTCCTACCGGTACATAAAACTATTATCGATGCGCTGTTGATTTACTACGGTAAAAGGGCATCATCAGATCAATCTTCTTCACGGGCATCTCTCTCGCGCTTGGCCTTTTCTTTTCGGGCTTCGTTCAACACATTATTGAGGTTTGTCGCCAAAGTAGCACTGCGGACATTCAAGTCCCTTGTTCTATCCATGACTTGCTCATAAATGCTCTGGGGGCTTCCACCCATGACGACGCACCCTTCCTCCGAATCAATCTTTGCATCCAGATCAGCATTACGGATCAAATCCACGATCCATCGTTCCGCCTGATCCTGATCCATGGCCAACTTTTCCCCCAGTGCTTGCAAATCAATCTTGTTGTGGATCCTACAGTAATTCTCAAATACAAAGACCCTTGCTTCTTCCATGAACAAGGCTGTTTGGTGGCACAAAAAGAAATCCGTGGCCAGGACCTTTTCACACTCAGCTAGTTTGGTCTGTGCCGACTCAAAATCAAACTTGACACACAAGCAATTGACAAACTCCACAATTGGGTCCGTGTATTCACAGTCCTGCATCACATTGATGAGATTCTTCATCAATCGACGCGCCTCAAAGTTGGATCCAGCTGCAGCCTTTTTTGTGACGCGGCGCTTGCAAAGAAGAACAGCCGCAGTCAAGTAGCGCAACAAATGTGGGGCATTCGTGGTAATGGCTTGCTTGAATCGCTCCGAGTGAAAGAGTTCCACAAGATGCTCCAGCCCACCCTTGGCGGAATTGTTCCAGTACACAAAGAGCGACCAATGTAGGAGCCAAGTTCGCTGCTGAAGAGCCACCAAGGAAGTGATCTGCTCGGACGCTACCAAGGACTCCATTGCATTTTTCACGGCATCCAAGGCGACACTGGCAGCTTCCCAATCTTCCACGAGGATTTCACAAGCGAGACGACCCCAGAGAACTTGCAACAAGTTTGTATTGATGGTTGTCAAGTAGTAGATGGATGGATTTCCAAAGTCTTTGTCGTTGTTTTGATTGTGCTGTCGGCGGTTATCTCCCATCATGTCGTCATCATCATTTTTGGCCGAGGGCGCTGGTGCCTTGGCAAAAAGGGAGATGTAGTTTTCGAGCATGTCTCGAGATGCCTGGTAGTCTCCGCAGTCAAAGTTGTAGCGCGCCAATTCGCGGTAAGCTTCCACCATTTCTGGCGTAATGCCTTGATCGGTGGAGTTGGAAAGGGACTCCACATTCCACTTGCCACCAGCATTCAACTTGGCCTGTATATATATTATCATGCCGAAGGACATAGAAACAAAAATGAGAGTTAGTTAGAAGGGATGAACGGTACGGTACCCAAATATATAATACGACAATACGCCCAAGTAAATAGCTGCACCAAGGGACCGAAACATGAGCCCCTACACGATACGTTACTCACCCTCTCTGTTTCATTTCGACAGAGCTTGTCAAACGGTTCACAAGCCCCTCTCAACTCTTCGAGCCGTTCGTATACCTTGGTCTTTTGTTCTTCCATTTCGGGTGGCACAGCCGAGTCTTCCCCATGAAGTTCCTTGTAGATATCAATGGCATAATCAACCATGTGTGTGGGCCTGAGTAAGGACAAACGTGCCGCAGCAATATCCTTGGATGAGTAAGAGACAGTGCCGGCAATGATGAGACTGTCCAAGTATTCCAAGAGAGGAAACATCATGTGTCGATCCAATTGCGGCGACACGTGGGACGTCAGGTCCCACTGTTCCACTGAATCCGTTGTCATCTTGCTTGCTTTGTCTTGTTTGTAATCGATCAACACCAACAGTGCGGTTTACTAGTAGCCAGTAGCAGTCTCTCTTTCTAATGGCAAAGATGGAAGCTGTGGCGTCTCTCGTTGCTCGTTGCCGCTCATGGCCTCTTCGTTCCAAACCCCCTCCATCCATCGTTTGCATTGGCTCATAGCCTTTTACTTTTTGGAAACGAGGGTTAGAAATTCTACAATAGCTTGTGAGAGAACGCTGACGAGGTAAATCTGAAGCCTCGGATGCGGCGGACAGACTGCAAGCACCCTCACCACCAAGAAACGCAAGAACAAAATGCTATGGTAGCTAGTTGACCTCCACCATGGTCTTTTTCACGTGCGACGGGTGTGGAGAGACACTCAAGAAGAGTCAAGTAGACGGTCATGCCAATCGCTGTCGCCGATGTGATTCTGTGAGCTGCGTCGATTGTTCCATTTGCTTTTATGGAGGTGAGTGTTGTGCCCGGAAGGATCTTGCAAAAGATATGGTGATCAAATGACGAGGAAATCTTTGATATCTCGATTTGGCAACACATTGATGCCAGTGGGAGTATCCAAATTGTTTTAATTAAACTCTGATGATTGTTTCAATGAGGGAATGCTTTTTTCTCAATACATCAAAATATACCGATGTTTTATCTCACCTTGATTTTGCTAACGGTACATGTACCTTTTGTTCTGAATTTCTTCCTGAACCATGGCTTTCCAAATAACTTGATCAGATGACTACCGATCCCACACTTCCTGTTCCATGACGGAAGTAGACAACTTGGTGGCTTCCAGAGGAGGAAACAACAAAAGTAAGAAGCTATCTCCCCAAGAAGCTTGGATGGAATTGTTAAACTCCAGTGTCAGCACGGCTCCTCCTTCCATTCAATGGCATTTGCAACAAATGGTCCAACTCGACAATGTCCCCCGCAAGGAAAAACAGTTTCGCAATTTTGCCATCAACTCGTTGAATCTACGTGGGAATTCGGCACAAAAGATTTTGGATTGCATTTGGAGTCATCTCAATGAACAACGAGAACTGCAAAAACAGCAAAAGGAACAACTGCAAAAGAAAAAGGAAGAAACAAAACAACCACAACAATCTTCGGACAGTACTGCAACTCCATCCACATCGGACGAAACCAAATCAGATGATGTATCCAATAGTGTGAGTGACACGGAAGATCAATCCAGCAGCAACAACAACAACAACAAAGACGACAACAACAACAAAGAGGAATCCGGTAATGATGACAAGGCCATGTACAAGAATGTCAAAAAGGCCACCAAGAAACTCCTCAAAAAGGCACCCAATCGCAGCATGAAGTTCAAGTCTCTTCAAAAGGCTTTGCGGGAGCAGATGGGGACAACGGACAAGGAGAAACTCAAAATGGTCATGAAACAGGTGATGGCCAAGGAGACAAAAAAGTTCCTCTTGGAGGGAAAGCAAATAAGACTAGTATAGTTAGTTTGTCAGGTCTCTACATTTATCAGGTAGCTAGTGAAGCAAACTTTGGTTACTGGCTATAGTCTAGTACGGTACCGCACGCCTTAGGAGTAATGAAAAAGGTAGGTATACATGTATCTTAGAGGTCAATCCAAGCAATGACTGAGTCTGAGTCGCTCCTGTCAGGTTTTGCAGTGCCGTACATAGCATAGCCGCAATATTCGATCCTTGTGGGCCCATTTGTCCTAGCAACTAGGAGTACCAAGGTAAGGGTATTTGTCCCTGTTTGTGAGATGCCGTACAGAACAAATCCCAGAATTGATGAAGCGAACTTGCTGAGTAAGTGAGTTCAATCTGAATCTGAATCTGATCCATATCCTGCTAACAGCCCTGATAACGCTGGTGTTTCAGCCTTTGCTGCTGGTTTGGATTCTTCCTTTTTTGGCTTTTTGGCCTCGACACTACTAGTATCAGTCTCTTCTTTGTTGCTTTTGTTGGGATCCACTTTTCGCTTCTTCTTGACCACTATTTTGGGAAATTTGGGTTTGACAGATGTCGCCTTTTTGTCAGCTTCTGAAGATTTTTTCTTTCGTTGAATTTCTTCGTCTTCTCTCTTCCTCTTTACCTCTAGCTCCTCATCCTCGTCTTTCATTCCCTGTTCCATGCGATTGACAGCTTGTGCGGCTCGAAAAGATTCCAATTCACTCTGTGTTTCATTCTGGATCATTTGCTCTCGTTCTTGTCGTTGCTTCTGCAGAGCATCCAAATGAGCACAGTCTTCTTCGTCCAGCGCCAATGTCCCCCGCATTATTGATTTTTGGAACTCGTCCCGCTCCATTTCTTCTTGTTCCTTGTTCGCTCGCAGCTGTTCAAACAACGGTTGGCTGGACGTCGTCACCCCCGAAGAGCCTTCGCTCTCCTTGCCTTCCACGGCTGTCTCCTCATAGCCTCCGCCTTCTTTCGCCGTCAGGACCGCCTTGGAGACAAACGATAAGCTCATGGTGATCACAGTGCCGAGTCCCAGAGTCTCTGTGGTTGCTTCGAAAAGTGCTTTTGATTGCTTCCAGCTCCCAGCAGGTCTTCCAGCCACCAAGGAAAACCCTAAACTTCGACCATTTTTGTCTGTTAAGGCTTTGTCCTGCGCCTGCGCCTGCGTCTCAGCAGAGCCGTTGCCATATTTTCGTTCGACCCGTCACATTATTCTCCACAACTCTGACAAAACTCGAGCCCAGACCCCCAGCAACCCTTTCGTTCTTTCATCTTCGGACATCTTCACGACCCTTGCTAGTTACCATGGCTGATCCTCTTGACCAAAACTTGAGTTCTATCAGTAGCGAAAGTGAAGAAAGCGACGAAGAGGAGAGTTCCGAAGAAGGTGACGAAGAAGTCGATGAGGAAGTCGAAGACAACGCTGCCGTCGTAGAGAAAAAGTCCCTGCCTGCAGATGATCTTATCTGTCCCATTACTCACGAATTGTTGTGGGACCCAGTTACAGCCGAAGATGGGCACTTTTATGAAAAGGAAGCCATCGAAGAATGGATTGCCGTCAACAGTCGATCACCTCACACGAACGAGCCCATCGGGAACCGGCTCCTTCCTGCACCGCAAATCAAGAGCTTGATCGAAACATTGATTCAGGCTGGTGTTATCGATGGAGCGTTAGCTGATGCATGGAACGAGAAGGATCGGGCGTTTCGAGTCAATCGAAATAAAGATGATTTGATACGCAAGGCTGGGAGCGGCAACCGAACGGCGATGCTGAACTTGGCACGAAATTATCGTATTGGTCTAGGTGGCTTCGACAAAGACGAGAACTTGGCATATCATCTGTATGAAACGGCCCGTGATGCAGGATCCGTGAAAGCTACAGCAAGAGTCGGCATTTGTTTTTGCACAGGAAAAGGAGTTTCAAAGGCCACTCGAAGAGGTGTTTATTTCCTAACCAAGGCGGCGTTTAAAGGATCTGACTTAGCTAGCTACGAACTCGGGATGGCCCTCGCAGACGGTAAGTATGGATTGTACGCGGACGAAAAGGAAGCCATCGAGTGGCTGCAGAAGGCAAGTGGCGATTGTCGTCACATGCACATGACGGCAGAACAAGAATTCGATTGTCGAGTAAAACTAGCGGTACTCTTGGAGAGCTAAGTCGGCACTCTTTTGTGTTTTGGAGTGGCGCGGCCATTGAGAATGAAAACAACTACATGTACATGTACATGTTTGGTAAAAGGGGTTACCCTTCGACAGATCGGTACCATACATCAGCCCTACCTAAACGGACGCATCGAGGGTCAACACGTTCCGCTCAATTATGAGCTTTCAAGTGCATGCGTTCTACGATTCGAACAGACAACAGAGTAGTTCTACTCTTCTTAAAAGTAATACCATTGTTTGTTTAGTATTCGTTCAAAGCCTCAGTGAGTTCACTCCGAGTACGGTAAGTAGCATTCGTGCAGTAATGGCCGGGAAGCTTCTTCGACAGACTCTGCATGATGAATCGACAGGCGTGTGGTGCCTGACATGAACCTCATTGCGGCCCTCATCATCCCAAGTACTAGTACATCACAATCAAGGATGCACGAATATCGTGTAGCAGGGTAGTAACGGTATTGTCATCGAGCGCTCACAGGGCAGAAGGTCGCGGAGGCTTCGATGTTCGTGGATGGGTACCGTAGTCCAACGAAGTCGATACAGTACGTACATGTACGAATGTAGCTCTACTTCCCGTACCCGTACCGGTATGTGTCAGAAGGCATTGGCCAAAAGCAGACCCTAACAGAGCGAATGAATCAAGATGTTGCCATTTGAATTTTTGAAAACAGTTCGAGCTCAACAGGCAAGAGTCGTACCGTATTGTCGTCATACCAATGCGGATGTATATCCAGTTCTCCCCCGATGGACAGGATGATGGTGACTTACTTGTAGCAGGGTAGTGGAACCGGGACAAAGCAGCTTGATGGGTACTCTGGTCATTGATCGTGCCTAGATGTTGGGTTGTAACAGTCTCAGAAGTCAAATAGAAGCTCTTGGTCTGTTCAAGAAGACCGAGCTCAGGCTGCCTTGAAGCCATCACGACCTCGCCCTTGAACTGAAAAACGACGTGTGCGGCAACAGGACGTACAAGTGTACCGTAGGGTACGGTACTGTAAATACGGTACGGTACCCAGAGCATTAATATTTTATGATTCACAGAAAGCCTTTTCATGAAAGAGTACATGTAAGATCCATCGAACTCTTGGTGGCTGGGAGCTGATATCGCTCAGGCAACCATGACGGTCCCTCATCTTCATCTCTCTTGGGCAGGGTCCATCAACAAAGCTTCAACCGAGGCGACATCGCCGATACCCCCACCATAACTGGACGTCTCTTCGCTCACAATTTACTTCAAAAAGCAATGATCTCACGGCAATAGCATAGAAAAAAGTGGAATCATTCTCCCTGTTGACTCGGCTCGATCAAGAAGATTCATTCCCTCCAGTCCAAATTGCTTCTACACGGTACCATAGCACCTAAGAGAGACGGGAGTTCCTCACATTCGGATAATCTCGCCAACTTGAAAGAATTGGAGCATTGAAATAAGCATGAATAGCCCAGATCGCACGGAACAAGTCAAAGAAATCTTCAAAAACTTGACAGCGGTGGAAACAGCGCTTCAAGAAGTAATTCAGGAACACCGGCATGGACGCTATGGATTTCTAACCCGAGAATGGGGTTTCACTGCACCTGGAGGTCTCGGCGGTCGACTAGGCGGAAAATTCATTCCCTGGGAGGAAAAGTTGGCCCGATGCAAAAAGTTCTTTTGGCCGTTGGAGGCATATGAAGCCATGGAAAAACACCCATTTGGCAAAGCTGATCCCGTAGTGATCAAAAATCTGGACTTGAAGCCTGAAGGAGAACAGATCTATGGAAACACCCCTTTGCACAACTTTTTGAGAGAACCACCCAAACAATCTGTGATCCTGGACGAGTCCGCTGACTTGGATGACTACAGGTCAGCAGCCCGAATCTTTTTGTTACTGGGAACACTGTCTCACTTGTATGGCAACTCGGCACCGGATCGATCCTCCCACACATTACCTCCTTGGATAGAAGAACCACTTCTAGTTGCGGCAAAGCGACTGCAAATTGAACCTACCCTTTCAGGACACTTTTTGGTGCAGGAAAATTGGATATGGAAAAGTATCACCACGGAAGATGCCTACGCCAAAGTTTCCAAAGCCAGTGCCAAGCGTCTCGATCGTGTCATTGTCCGAACGCTGCTTGAACAATGCGAATGTGCTGATAGACGCTATAGAGTCAAGATCTATCCTGACTGTTTCATTGGATCTCAAGCCATTGATGTTCTCATTGACAGTGGCGTTGCAGAGACAAGAGAGGAAGCTGTCCGGGTCGGTAGAAGGATCAATGACGAGTTCAAGCTTTTCAACCATGTCACCAATGATCATCCCCTGATAGATAAGCATCTATTCTATCGCTTCAAAAAGAAGTGGCAACAAAGAAAGTCAGAGATGGCAACGATGGAAGAGGTAGACATTGCAGAAGACCCCGACGAAAGCAAGAATAAAGACGACAATGACAACACAGAGGAAGATGCCAACCAAACGCCAACCAGTCGCTTGATGCGCCCTAGCGATATCATAAAGAGCTTCAGGGCCAGCACAACGAGCGTCCGCAGTGATTCTTTGGTGCAGGGTTCACTGAGAAATCTCATGAAGAAAACTCGTAGTAAGGGACGGGCAAGTTCTAGCGGCGATTCAAATACTATAGACCGTGGCAGTAACCGCTCTCTCAGCTCAGTATCAGACGTTGCATCAACAACAGAGGAAGACAACCAGCCACTGCAAGGTAACCCGTACGGAGATACGCCAGAAGGCCTCGTTGTTGGGCTCACCAGCACACACCTCGGCGCTCACGATGAAACCTGGGAAATGCAGGAAGCAATGTCGATTGTGGCCGTCATGGCTTTGGTCCCTGTGAAAGATAGACGGTACAGGTTCCGCACATACAAGCAGTGCTTTGTTGCTTGTCAAATGATTGATGTTCTGATAGAACATGAGTGTGCCAGCACTCGAAAAGAGGCCGTGGAATTGGCCCGTGGTATCAATGAACGCTTTGGCCCAATCTTTGAACATGTTGGTAAGTAAAACTTCACACAGTGCTCGGTTTTCATCTATCTCCATGCGGAACAGCCGAAACTAACAGCCGCCTAGTTGACAATCACTTCATCAAGGACGAATACTTATTCTTCCGTTTCACCAAGGAGTTCAAACAAATGATGCAAAGCAAGAATGGCGACGAAATACAAAGCGTCTCTCACTCTGGGTCCACCAAACACTCTTCACCAAAGACGAGGCGTTCCAGCTTTGACTCGGCAAGGAAATCTACACAAGAAATCTTGGATGAAAACCTCAGGTCGGGATTCATTGCCGAAACAAGCTCGATTGGTTCGGTCGATGAGTCGATCATGGCCTTGAGGGGTTTTGATGAGACAAACGAGTTTCGAATCGACAACATCGACATGCTTTATCCTGCGTTTGGTCACAACCACGAAAAAATCAATCAACTAATCCCGGCTTGCATGGGTCATGCGTTTGCCAGCTTGCCGTTCGATGTGCTGGATATCATCACCACAATGAAAAACATTCTGGAAGCTGAACTGAGCGTGTCCGACATCTCAAGCGTCGACGGCTACGAAAGTCGACGATTGTACGACCTTTTGTATAAGGTGGCCTTCAGTGTGTCGCGGTGTAAGGAAGAGTTTCAGCAAATGTCGACAGATCCAACCTCGAGAACCTTCAACTCAAAGCACATTTCCATAAAGCACACACAACCAATTTCAAATGGAGTGGTAGTCCAAGGGAAGAGAAGGAAAGGAACCACAGGGACGCAATTCGCATACTTCCACCTGCTAGACTGGCTTTTGGGCAGGCATCAGTACAGCGGCGGTGGGGGATTGGTGGCGCAAATCGCTGAAGTGGACAACACCTACACCCGACCCGAACGAGAGTTCATACAAAGCATTTCGAAGCTAGAGAAACCCGCTACCCTTCGCGGCTTTTTGGATGTCCTTGGACGTCCGACGCAACTCTTGGCTGCCTACAATCATTTGGTCGAATGTTACGCTGGCGAGGGAGGAGTCTTGCAAGCTCACTGTCGAAAGCTCTACAGCTACATTCACAACGATGTTCAATTCTCAACCAGCGGCACCAATCACCTAAAAAGCAAAAGCGAGAAGAATGATTCTGCTTGTCCCATGTCCAGCATGGCGAACAACCACAACTTCGCGACGATGATGTTCAAGCATATGCGAAAGGCTACTGATGATCGTTGGACGTTACGGATTCCGCCTCTTATGACGGAAGTAGGCAAAATTGTGTACAGCACGAGCGTAAGTGGAGGTAAGTACCAGGCTAGATTGCGCAATCTTGTATTCCGGTTTACCCAGGAACCTGACTGCTGGCTTCTGCACATCAAACAAAAGGCTTCACGACTGTTGCATTGGACCTTTCAACCAGCGGACTCCTCTACGAGTATGGCGACGTTGTCAAAATCGTCTTGCCAAACAATGACAGAAATTGCTTCGCCTGGTGCACGTCATTGGCTTCGAACAAGAAAGATTTCTTCACTTTGAGCGACATGCAGGCTTTCCACAAGGACACTGGCAACGGTTGGGGCTGGACAGAGTTGTGGGAAGCCCTTGGTTGGGACAGTTACGAGGAAGGCGACGGCAAAGGAGTTCCGCTGGAACTGATTTCGCGATATGTGGAACAAGGCCAAATTCGCCTGGAGTCAAGCACCAGCCGCTGGGTGAACAATCCACTTGATCTCTGCGACGATAGCAAGAATCTTTTCCCAGTTCCTCCACCCCTGCGTCTTGATCAGATCGCGTCGCTCGAGCCAGTGTCGCCACGAGTGTATTCAGTCTCCGGCGTGGAGATTGATCGGGTGTTCCTGCTCGTTTCAAAACCCCAAGACGGGGCTCGCCATCACGGATACCAGGCAATGTGCGATCCCGAGATTAAAAACGTGCACTGTTCGTTCAGTCCAGCCACATTCTTCCTTGTCCCACCCCTCGACGTGAATCTTATGTGCATCGCCTCTGGTACTGGCATCTCGCCATTTGTGGGTCTTGCAGATGCTATCGGTCCTCGACAGGGGAGTTATACTATTGTGCACCAGTGCAAGTCATCGGACTTGTTCCTGGCAAACTCTCAAACATGGCTCGACTTCACGTGCGAAAATCCCGGAGCCGTTGTTATGGGCTACATTTCCGGTGACCGCAGCCGTCGTAACTGCCCAATGCGTTACATTATCCGCAATGGTGCATTCGAAGAGACAACAGTGTTGAGGCGACACAAGGCATGCTGCTATTATTTCGAATGCTCGTTCTTCCAAGGTCGGATCAAGGAAACCTACAAGAAGGGCGGTCTCAATCTCGCCTATTGTTGCGGCGGGTAAGTTCAAAATATCGTGTCCACGCAGATCACTGCTTCGTGATGATGGCAGAACGCCCTTGAAATATCGCTTTCCTGACATCTGGCTTTTCTTGCTTCTCCCAGTGTGAAGAGTGCCATAGATCCATTGAAGAACTTCTCCACCAAGGAGGGTCTGAGCTTTCAATTCACTTCTGAGTGCTACGCTATCCCGCCAAATTTGACAACCGATAGCACGGCATGTCAGATAGCGGGAACCATTGTAGATATCGACCAGGTTGGACCCATACACCCTGGAGGCGGAGCAATCCTTGAACAACTGAATGAAGTCTGTATCGAAACACAAGACGCCAAGACTCCCGATCTATCTGTCGCATTTTGGGAGTTGCACCCTCACGCCTACAATTTACACCGATGTTTGCGGACGCCACTGGATCCCGATTCAAAGGCGTTCGCCAAATTCCTGGAAAGGCAAAGTATGCGCAATAGCGTGATGACAAACATGGCGGCAAAATATGCAGAGATGGCTCTAGCCGCCCCCCACGATTCCAAGGTGGTGCGCATTGCCACCGAACTGCAGTCGTCAGCCATTCGTCAGCAATTGAAGTCTGGTGATGCCCAGGGCGCCAAAGTATCCGCCGAATACTTGGAAGCTCTCTTGTCGCATGTGCCCCAAGAAGACCAAGATGCAAACCGATGGACTGCTTCCCTGGAAGGCCTTCGCAAAGAGAAACAGTAGCGATAGCTTGTTCCAGCAGTTTTCGGAAGTGCGGTTGCTATCAGATGCCAGCCTGCCAGCCTGACTACCGGTAGCTAGCTCTGGCTAACCAAAAACCTAATGAAGCACTTTTGCCCTCATAGTTTGCTGGGCATGTATGTAAAAACGCAGTCAGCAGTCAGTCTCAGCGGCTTGATTTCATTCTCGATCAATACCGGTAGCGGTACTAGCTAGCCAGTCTAGTACCAGTAAATCGCCAGAGCTCTCTCAAAAGATACTGCAAAAGGAGCCAAAGATCCTTCGAGAAAGATGCAAAGTCTTCTTGCCAATGCATGGAAACCGCTTCCATCTCAAGGGGAAAATGCATGGAAAAGTCATGCGCTATCCCAAGGCAGCTACCCAACTCACAACTCGAGCGAACGACGATGAGACGCCTTGCACTGCTGCTACTTCTATCCCCTTTGGTTGTATCATGCCGACAGATACAGCCATTCCACGCTCCTCGTAGTGCTGCCTTTATAGCAGATCCTTTGCGACCACGCCAAGCGAAGACTTCATTGGCACCTATTAGCCAATCGCCCCTTACGCAGCTTAGAGCCGGAAGCATTGTCCCATTACCAAGCACTACAGCAACGGCTGCTGGCGTTTTTCTTGGTGCAAATGGAATCATGCTCTTGACCAAGCCAAGAGCCCTGTTGAAGAACGTATATGGGCTTACCATTGATCACGACGACGATGAACTAATAGCATGGGAGCTTAGAGGCATCGGATCCCTTGGTTTGGGACTGGCCATTCAGGTGTACGCATCCATCGTCCAAGGAATCGCCCCAATAACCGCCATGGGATTGGGGTTAATCCCTCGAGCCTTGTTTTATCTTTACACGACATTTTCAGGCAAGATGAAGTCGCTCAACATTCAAACGAGGTTCTTCACCATGAACACGGTCATGACGTGCTGGTGTGTTGCCTCTCTGCTACTCGGTTTGGGGAAACCAAGCACGACTTCCAAAATATATTCTTCCATGTGTTTTCTCAAATCCCTCTTCTTCACCTGGGCCCCGAGGACTTCGTGCAAGAAACTACTGGGAAGACCCTGCGAGGGACAGGCCTTGGGCTTGATGCGGGGAGCTGGAAATGAACTCTTTGTCAGGTAAGTGAAGGAAAATACTTTTTACAATTCAATATATCTGTTTATCGACAAGGTTTTGACGATTATTGCTGCTGCTGCCCCAACTCCAGCTCTCTTCTGATGCTATCCGCGGCGTGGGCTTCAAACATAGTCAGCCCGGTTGCTGCTGCCGGATATGTGTGCGTTGCATGGGTAGTTCTCTTGGCGGACATGGCGATGCTGGCCAAGACATGGCAGCTTATGGGGTTTTCCAATGCCCGTACCAATTGGGTCAACTTGATAATGGCAGCCGTGTTGGGTACAGGTTTCTTGCTGGCCAAATAGATAACGATGCATATACACTTCGGTTTAAACCTGTATCTTTGCTGTGAAATGCCTGCTTTAAGCATTGAGTTCAGGCTCTCCGCTTTGTAGTATTGAACCAGCGAGAATGGATTCGGTGTCTGATATTCTCCCGTTATTGTCTTCGCACTCGTCATCTGGAGCTTTTCTTCTGTGGCACACTATTCTCTGACCTACCATGTACAAAACACCATGGAAAAGGAGGGTAAGCATTACCATTGCTACAACATTGAACCAGATATTGCCCCCACAATAAATGGTAGTTCCGCTTTCTTGCACCAAGGCAACGATAATGCCGAGAATCCCGGTGAAGATGGTTGACCATGGGAAAGCAGTGACCAAGGAAATTTCTCCAGAAATGAATAAGACCAACATCAGTACACTACACAGGTAATGGACTGTAATGTCAGAAGTGACACTTAGGGCAAGATATGCCTGAGCCAGCACTTTGTCAAAACTCCTTGGGATGGCTGATCGCACTGCAGCGTAGCATAGATCTTCATTCACAGACTCAGTCACTGGATTGGTTGCAACATAATATACATTCGCAATTGTTACAGTGATTGCCAAGGGCAGTGCCAACGAGAACAAATACTGGGCCACCAATGGCTTGTTTTGGGTTGGCGGCAGATTGCGGCTACCGGTATCAGTACTGCTGGTCTGGTCTTCCTGATCATTCGCCTTACGTATCGTTGCGTCGGGAATGCAAGCCCATGCTTCAAAAGCCGCTATTGTCAACCAGACGTTCCAAGCTGAAAAATAAAGCAGCAAAGGAACAGGCGATGGATCTTCGCCTTCGCGACATGTTGAGCATTGCCAAGCATCTCGGTAGATGACGAGGTCGATGATGAAAACCAGAAGAACTACGAGGAAGAGGATACTGTAGACCGCCTTGATGGCTACCTTGAAACTGTATTTTAGCATGTTGTGTGTTGCGATCCTTACTAAAGGGAGCGCATTTATTTGTTTTATGAATGCGAGTGGTGGGGTAAGAGTCTGCAACGTGCACTTCAAGAACTGGCATGCATACGGTACCGTGTCGATTCCCTTTGCTCTATCTTTCTAAGCCACTCCCCTCACGGATGCGACTATGCATACTGGATACCGGTAGCTACAATGTAGCATATCAGAAACGTCCGAACCCACCAGGTCATCAGATCCAGGCAAGAACGCGGCAGAGTCGACTCCCGCACTACCGGCATGGGTTCGTACGATCCATGTCCGTGCTCCCGAAGTGTGAATCAAGTTGAAGTCTGCATTGCTCTTCTCTCTGACACAAAGCCTACATCTCGAACTCTATTTTCGAAAACGAATCAGTGCCAGCACTGAGGCATTAGTCCAAGCTAGCTAGGAGCAAGTTCCCAAGCTGCACACTAAGCCAGCTGGTAAGCAATGGGCAGTACTTGCTGCCATCCTCTTATCTTCCTTTTACCATCCATTGTGAGGAGAAGAAGTGGTCCAAAGCAGGAGAAGCGTAACACTACTACTCGCCCGCTGGCAATAAGAGGCTTCTCTCTTCTCAGGTGTCTAGAGTTATCTAGTTAGTAGTACATGCACTCTTCTCGTCACGTCAAGCTAAGGCTCCACACAACTATGATACTCGTCTGACGTCTCCAGTGCCTCTGTGCCCTCTTGTTTGGTTCTACTTGTATCGGTGTTGTTTTCGCTTGGCTGTGTATCCTTGATGCAGCAAGAGCAACCCACTTTTCTTGCATTGGCTCCAAGATAAAATGTAACATGAAAGATCAGGGTGAACAGGCAAATGATCCCAACATTGAACCAAATGTTGCCACCACAGTACACACTGATGCCACTCTGCTGGACAAGAACAATGATAATGCCCAAGAAAATGGAGAAAATGGTTGACAAAGGGAGGGCAACCACATAACAGAGTTCTCCAGAGAATAAGAGGACCAAGAGCAGGACACTACAAAGGTAGTGCATAGTGAAATCGGAAATGATGGCACCAATGAGATACAAATCAGCCATCCACTTTTCCAATTCACGTGATATGGCTGACCGCCAAGCAGTGTAACAGAGATCTTCATTGTAAAACTCAGAAGCTGGCCTTGTGGAAATGTAGTAAATGTAGGTTATTGATACTGTCAGGGCCAATGGCAGAGCCAAGGAGAACAGATATTGGGTAGCAGTCCTCCTTTGAAACATGGTTGGGGCTGCCCCATTGTCTTCCCCTTGTTCCAGATCATTGATTGTGCCACTGCTTTCTCCCTCTTGGTTTACAGCTTTCTTCTCCAAGAAAATCCAAGACAAAAATACTGCTATGGTCAACCAGATATTCCAGACTGAAAAGTACACCAATAGAGGGACACGAGAAGCTTCTTGACCAACTCGGCAATTAGTACAAACCCAGGTCTCCTTATAAAGGATCAAACCCGCAACATACACCACCACAACATCTGTAAGTAGAATGCTGTAGAGGACTATGATGGCTTTCTTCCATGCAGGAGGTAGCATTGTGTTCTTCTGTTGCTCTTTTGAGTACCGGTGGTTTCGTATCTTCTATCTATCTTGGTAGTCAATTTTATGGGCCAAGAGACGATGAAGCTGCTCGAATAGGAGTGCACGATGCACGAGCACGATGCACGATACAGCATGGACGCTTTCCTGAATGAACTCATGCTTGTATTGAATTCATGAATACTGTACTCGAGTATGTAAAAAACGAAAGGGTCCGCTTACCTATGACCATATGCATAGTATGGTACCTGCATATTACCGCCACGCTATGCATAGCTGGCTACTCTAGTATCTGTATGCATACTGTTGCAGTCGGTGGTACTACTGTAGAGTTTACTTGAACATTTATGTAACGGGGTTGAGGTATAAAAACAGTACCTAATTTTATATATTACCTCACTCCAGCGGATAAAAGATATCTTCACAAAAAATGAAGGTGTCAGTTAAAGTGCTTGCATGCCGGAATAAAAAAAGGGGCCAGCTGGGCCACTGGCAGTACAGTGTCTGCATGAGGAGAGTGTCTGCATGAGGAGATTGCATCAGCAGAGCCTTCGTTTGGTCTTGTCCTCTTTGCAACAACTCGCTGCGGCATGAATGAGCAGAGCCTTCGTTTGATCTTGTCAGCCATGAAGGAGCGACCATGTCCTGAATTTGGATTCTTCTTCTAGCTAGCTAGATAGTTCCCAAGCAATCGTCAATCCAATCAGGTCATCACTGGAAGCTTCCTCCTTACCATTAGATGCAGTTTGGAGCCTACCAACCGCTCATAAACTGCTAGCTAGCTACACTCTACTAGACGCTGGATGTGTATTAGGTGAATTAATTCTCTGATGAAGTCCACCACGAAGTGGTTGATCTGCTTTCTTACTCTTCATCAGAGCTTTTAGTAGTACGCAAATACAATTGCAACTTAGCTAGGTAACTAGCGTAGCTACAGCTGTACTAGCTAGGGCACGGATTCCTTCGTTGCCATTGAGCGTTTCTCAGAGAATGGTCAGTCCTGCAATGTTGATGATTGAGAGCGCTCCCACGAGATCTTCCGTGACGAGCCACCCCGCGGAAAACCCGTCTCCCGTTAGACATCGCCCAATTTTCTTAGGTTTTTTCCACGGTAAATCCGTGGGACGTTAGGATTTCCGAACAGAGGCTTCCGATCTTCCGAACTGCTGCCAATGGTTCTTGCCAAGAGCAGTGGCATTTTCCCATCACACACCTGCCGATTCCGTGCCATTCAGGTACTTTGGTTGTTGTTTTAATCCTACCTGAGGCAGCCTTATCGACAGTGGATTATATAGATAGATACACCAGCAGCTTACAGCAGCCATGCCTTGTGTGTGTTGCAAGAAACCGGCTCCATCCGGAGAGCATGTTGCCGTGTCGAGTCGAGCCGATTCAGGTTCCGCGGCCCCCAAGCCGAATCGGATGGGAGATCGAGGCTTTGACGATGACAAGGCAGCCCTCCAAAAGTGGAGAGACCAACATTTGCCGCCCAAACAACAACAACACAACAACCACCAATCACCGGACGAGGCGAGCTCGGGCTCGGATGCCAGTTATGGTATTGACGAAACCAAACAGCCAGTGAAATTATCTCCTCGAGCCGTCCAAGCGTGGCAAGAAAAGCGACAAGAGCGGTCACCACCACCGCCCATGTCAGATCCAGAAGAAGACACGACACCCACAACCACACCCACTGCAACCTTAATCAAGCCAGCCAGTACTACAAGTGGTAGTAGCAGCAAGAGAAAATCCCTCAAGGAAGAGTTACGATCTCCTTACGAATTGTCTTCGGCCAGTGGGAGCAGTCAAAGTGGTGCCGATTCGAGATCACAGTTGCAATTGATGCATATCCTTCGACAGATTCATCCCAATGAAGAAACAACACCTCATCGTGATATTATAAGGGATGAAGAAGTGTCCTCTCACATCGAAGCGTCTCCGACTACTACTACAGCTGCTACTCCCATCATGCATAATCCACAACGGTCCAGTCCCACAAAACAACCACAACCACAACAGCCGAGAATACGAAATGACTATGATCAACTGGATGCCCTGGTACAGGAATCCAATACACACATCCAGCAACAGCAACAGCAGCACAGTCACAATCATCATCATAATAATGCTACCCACAGTCCTCCATCATCATCCAACAACAGTCCTCGGAAACGTCCCATTGTATCACCTCCTCAGGCTCCTCCTCACCACTACCAGCCAAAAATACAAAGACAACATGATCATGAAGGTTTGAGAGACCAAATGATTCGAGATGTCGTTTTGCAACAGCAACAAGGCGCTCCATCTTACGACGACGACGATGATGAACGACTGCACGGTCAAGTCTTTCTCAAGGTAAATTCGTCGCCTCGCAGTAGTCCTTCCCATGACCACAATCACTTTATTTCCAACACTGAAGAACAAGAAGAAGACACGGACGATTACTACAACAATACCGAAACTGGTTCGGTCAGTGACATTTTCTCCGATCCGGCATTGGAAGATGTCGCGAGTTCGTTAGCCAATGACGGCGAGTCGAGAGAACGCTATATTTTGGCCTGTCGCTTGTTGCGGACACGCATTACACAACGACATCCGCCTCCCATTATGCCAATGGAGCGAGAATTGTTGCAAGATTTGCTCGAACGATTCCGATCGTCACGCAATGGGGGATCTGCCATGGCATTTGAAGCACTGTCCAACATTTTAGCGCAACAACAAGAAGAGGAGGAATCGCGGTCGTCGTATCCATCCATTCTAGACTTGGATGGGAGTCACGACAGCAGTAGGGATGGAGTATACTCCGTGGCGAGTATCCGGGAAGAAGAGGAAGGCTTCAATACGGTGTTACGGAGGCGGTCTTCGTCTTCGTGGAGAGACGAAAAGAATCCCAAAGCACTCCCGCAGTTGTTGGAAGTCGAACACGAAGATGACACGACGACAGCCGCAAGCCGACAATCAGCAGCAGCAAGTCCCATTGTTCGATTGGATGGATGGAATAATGCGGAGCGGGAAAAACCGAATCATCAGCAATATCCATTTGTCATTATGGGATTTGACGAGGATACTCCTACCGCATCGAGGGTCTTGTCGCCAGCTATTATGGAGGCAATGAGAGGGTTCCTCCCGTATTCCATCAGCGAGGACAACTTTTGGCTCAAATTTAGCTTGGTACGAGATGGAGCATCTCTGCGCGTGCTCTTGCGCTCCATCATGCCTTGCACACATACCGTCATTTGCGTCGAAACGAACGATGGGGATGTCTTTGGGTCGTTCTGTTCCACTCCATGGAAGAATAATGGAGACGCGCAAAAATGGTTCGGAACGGGAGAGAGCTTTTTGTGGAAGTTGAAACAATCGCGATACGTGCCGGAACACTTTGCTTTTGATGCCAGCCAGCGGATGCACGAAATGGAAGTGTATCCCTACACGGGTCACGACGATATGGTCCAGTATTGCACATCCACCACCCTGGCTGTGGGAGGCGGTAGTTGGAACGATGCCGTATGTCCCTATCCTGGAGAACCGACAGGTATTGGTCTGCTCCTCGACGGTGACTTGGAAGGAGGAGAGACGAATTCCTGTGCGACGTTTGCCAATCCACGCTTGACGCGCAATAACAACAACAAAACGACCGTATCGAATGAGTTTACGATTGCCAATCTCGAGGTTTGGACGTTGACTCCGCACGCCACCATTCACCTTGCCGAACAACTGGAGCGACAAAAGTACTTTATTAAAGAGCACACTTTGGAGACAGTGCCCTCCTCATCGCCAACGCGATCATCTCCAATGGCCAGTCCCCGTGGTGGAAGACGCTAATGATTCTTTTTCCATGCTGGTCTCCATTCCCAGCAGACTCTTTAGCTAGATTGACTGTTCGAGGCGACAACAAACCGGCACGGGTCGGTCAGCTCTGACACGGCAAAAGTGACTGTTGCGGATTAGTCGACACAAGCTGGCAACGTGAAATGATGAGACCCCGCGCTCACCTAGCTACCGGTAGTGCGATAAGGTATCAATACGTGGAAACGCAATGCTAAAGCAGTTATCCTCTCGTCTCACTGCGAGCTGCTATCAGGTGGTTCTTGCTGCATTGCAGCACAATGATGACAACCACAACACAGCCCAACAACAGTTAGTTGAAGCCCCCGGATTTGTCAATAACGTTTGCAGAAAGGGCATTTGAGCCACCAGATTGGACACATCATTGTTGGCAGGGAGTTGCAGGAAGGAGGGGTCAACATTCCAGCCATGTCTGCTCAACTAGCTAGAAGCAAAGACACTCAGGGCAGGCAGATCAATGAAGCAGTGTACCTATAAAACTTTCTTTGTAACACTAGTGACCCTACCTACATACTTCTCGTCAACTACTGGTACATGGGTCAACCCTGGATGGAATCAATCCATTTGTGTCCATCCATCACAGCAACCATTCAACTTGTCACTCATTCAAGTTCTAAACATGTCATGAAAGCAGTCCCAGTAGCAAGGAGTGCAAGCAAAACACAAGGATCCAAACACTTTGCCAGTTCCAGAGCACTCAACATCATCATGCGCCTTCTCCTGTGTATACATGTATGTCAGGACAGTAAAAAATGTCAGTATCAAAGGCAACCAAAGTCCCAAAATAACTATCCGTAGACTCATTGCCGGCATTTCCAAGCCAGGTACAGTGGGGGTACCGGTATCCTGGCAGGGGAAACAATGCGAGTGTGGCAACGACAACAGCTCCTCGTTGTCCGCACTACAGCTCCCTCTTGCTGATACTACGAGTAACTTGCAGACCACAAACGACCATCCCTATGGCCAAACAGAACGATTACGACATCTCCCTTGATGGGCAAGGTTGGCTTGGCCCTGTTGGCGCGTCATGCCACCGAGTTTGGGGTAAACTACAGCAGCTACTACAGCCCATTCCAGCAGACCTACTGTGAACTATTCATTTGTTGCACCATGGCCAAGACACATCCAGGGCATTTAATTGCCGGTAGATAGAAAGGCGGAGTGGCCCGAGAAGAAGGATGACCGTTCCTTTGACCTTCAACAAGTTCCCCATTGAAACCCAGGAACGAGTGGTTCAATTTGTAAAAGCTGGATTGCGATTCAAGTCAAGGTGTTGTTTACAGTTAGTTGTTGTTTGTTGGTCCTTCCACCCCAGAGCGGTTGGGTGGCCAACAATTTTAAAATTGATCACTCTAGTCTTTCTTCACAGACACAATCAAAGGACCCACGTTGTCACCAGTAGCGTCGTTGTGCTTTACGTGGGTGCCGTCGCAAAGAGGAAATGTTCCAGACAACCTGACAGGAGAGAACGAGATGAAAAAGGATATGAGTCTGTCAGTTTGATTCGATATCATTGATTCGGAAAGATTTGGCATCCTTGTGTCATCAAATAATAAACAAAAACTCACCAGCAACGGCAGTAGACCTTCTTTCCCTTTTCAATATCATCCATAGTAGCAACCTTGGGACTATCCAAGTCAATCTTCAGGTTGATTTTGCTTTCTCCCTCCAAGGGTTCATATTCCGCAAACAACTGGGTCGATTGCATTGGTTGGACGGGAGCCACGGTGAACGCGACCACACTCTGGCAAATCAAAGCAGCGGCAAGGATGTACTTCATCATGGTAGACTACTAACTGGAATTCTGATGATGGTTGCGATGGTTGGCTATACTTCCGTAAAGAAGATAGATTGTGAAGCTGATTGTGATCTCTTCTTCGACGTACCAGCAGCAATCAAGGGCGAGATCAAATCCCTCCGACCTGTCCGCTATCGGCCATCATTGTGAAAGATCCCGACCTCCACCAGAGGAAGTGCCAAGAACTGACGTCAGTGGTTATTCGGCGGATACGGGACTCGCAACTCACAGATCCCCGACACCGATGCCACTGCATGCTGATTCAGCATGCTACCGTTATTCTGTTGTCTTCTGCTGCCTCAGACGATGGCAAAGGACATCCTGCTTATGTGATGAACAGCTGGCATCCATGCTACCAGCACCAAGCTGCTAGCTAATCTTATGCATATGCTGACACAAGATGGGATCCCGACGGCGCCGAGCTCGAGGTGACTCAAACCCCCGAGCTCATCATCTTTGACTTGATACCCTCCCCTATCTATTACTCCATAAAACGAGAAAAAGAAACCATTCAAACAACAAGCAGCGCAATCATGAAGTTTTCATCTGTCCTCATCCTGGCCTTACAAATCAGTACCTGTCAAGGCTTTGTTCTGCCCAATACCTTCGTGTCCAAAAGTAGCCACCTTTTTTCCACGGTAGAAACAAAAGATTTGTCTCTCACAGAACAAGATGAACAGCTGAAGGAACCAACATCAGTTCGAGCTCCGCTCAAGTTTATGGGTCCCTACCCCTGTCTGGGGTTGAAATTCCCACATCTGGCAACTTCGGCCCAGCGCGCCAAAAACATGAGTGGAATCTCTTTGGATTTCCTTTTGGATACAGCCGCCAATGTCAACACAATTAACAGTCAAGTGGCTACGGAATTGCAGCTTTCTGAAGCGGGAGAAGCACTCCCAGGAGTCAGTGCTGCTGGATCCATGGGCGGTGGCACAACCTACATGCTGGGAGACTGTGAACTCGAGGGTGTAGCCGAGGAGGCATCCTTTATGCAAGAGCTCACAGCATCGGCTCTTCCCGTGGAAAGTCCGGCTTCGGCGGGGCTACTCAGTTTGCCATTCTTTCACTGCTTTGAAGGAGGGGTAGAGTTTGATTGGGTGGGTCAACAAATGGATGGCAAGCAACTGCCTCCTTCCGTTACCTTTTACGGTCCAGGAGACAGTGATGCAATTTTGCAAGACATCACACGAGTCAAGATAGAAGAATTGCCCGTGACGCGTCTCCCAATGGTCCAACTCAATATCAACAATATGACCATCCCAGCACTTCTTGACACGGGATCACCCATTACAGTCATCAATGCCCAAGCCGCTAAAGAAGCTGGAATTGAAACTGCAGAAATTTCCACCAGCAATGACGACGACAAGAAGGGTGGCAACCTGTTTTCCAATTTTGCGAATCGATTCCAACAAGCTCAGGCAGCCGCACAGGCCGCTGCACGGGGAGATCTCATCACCATTGCTGGAGCAGACGGCAAACCAGTGCAACTCATCAAGTCCCAATCGGAGGCTGGCGTGCATTTGGCATCCGACGACGACGAGATTGTAGATTTTGGAAACAGCAATATCTACGTTGGCAATCTGCCTGGTCTAGCAGCTTTGAATGGGTTGGGAGATGAGTCTCCACCGGCTGCCGTCTTGGGAATGGATATTCTTCGCAAGAAACCAAAGATGTTGCTTTTGGCCAGGAATCAAGAGGTTTACTTTTAAGAGCAGAATGTAAATGAAGAAATAGATTGTATATAGCAAGGAGAGATTGGATCTAATTTATGGGATCCCTTTTTGAAGTTTCGACTCACGGAGAATGGAGCTACATGATGCTGCTGCTGCTGTTGTCGTTGTGGAGCTGCGTCGTGGGCACTCGTAGAGCCTCTGCCTGGGATTGAGATCCCGTGTTGGGCACCCTTTACGGAACGGGCGAGGACCGTCAACATGCACACTTGAAATGCCATGCCGCACTGGTGGTTGTGACGGCCAAGAGCAAAAGAAATCGTGAACTCATTCTTCATGGGTAGGTACTGTATGTGAAGTCGAGTGCCCCCCCCCTGAAGATTTGGATCGTCCCATCGTCCCCTTCCGAGTCGTCGGTGCGGACTCTGTCTTCACAGTGTCTTCACTAAACACCTTGTCCAATGAAGAAGGAGTCTTAGAGGCCGCGGAGGCACCATTCCAAAGCATATATCACAAGGGATCGAAACAAAGTTTGTTGGAGTCAGGGTCAAAATGTCGCGCTATTTTCCAAGTTATGTGCTTCATGATGATTGTCGGTTTCGTGTTGTTTTGTCATAGCCAACCAATCCAATCTATTATTTTCTATTTTTGCTTACCCTGGCCACTTACTGCACCCGATACTCTTTCAAGTTTTATTCATATCGAGCAACCACACAGCTAATGTCATCCACCTTTCCACCAAGGCCATCTCGAAAGTCTGGGTCGCCATTTCGTTTTGCCTGCTTCGAGTATGGTGTTGGTGCATTCGAATTCAAGGATACCTTTCGAGAGAGGTCGGAGACTTGTTTGGCAATGGCACCTGCCTTAGCTGGACCAGAATTTACAACTTCCACAATTTCAGAATCCTCCAGATTGTCAAAAATACCGTCTGAGCCCATCAGCACAACGTCACCCTTCAACAATTCAAAATTCAACTTGCGTGCGTCCCTTGGTCTGTCCGGTGAAATTTCGGACAGTTGATATGGGCAATCAAAGTAGTGTACAATTTCTTTGGTCTTTGCCACGACCCTGTCTCCTCGGATGACAATGCACGAAGAATCACCCAAGTTGATGGCACGAAGAAACCCGTCTTCTGTAATGGATGCTACAATGGCAGTTGAAGCACCTGTGGCTCTCTCATCAGCAGTCTCAGCTGCAGTCAGCAAATTGTCTTGCATGTCCTTGATAGTGATGTCGTTACCTGTTCCAACCAATTGCGTCATTTGTCGTGCTAGCATTATGGAGTAGAGGGGAAGACCATCCACTTTGTCGGCTCCTGACACACCATCAAATACCCCGAATGTGCGTCCTTTTGTGAAAACAGCATCTTCACCACCCCACATCACCTTGGATGGGTGAGGCAGAACGAATGAACCAATGTCAATCTTGATTGTTGAGGCCTTGTCATCCACAAAGATTTTTTCCTCTTCTGCCAATCTCCTGGCTTCAGCCTCTTCGGCTCTTCTAGCCTCAGCCTCTACTCTGTCGGCCTCTGCTTTCTGCTCAGCCTCTGCTTTCCTTACAAGCTCCGCCATCTTCTTTTCTTCCTCAGCCTGTTTCTTGGCCTCAGCAGCCCTCTTCTTGTCAAAGTCTTGTTTTGCTTTTGCTTGAGCCTCCAAAGCTTTTCTTTCTTCCGCTGCGTTAACGCTGGCTGCTTCCTCACTCTCCGCCACAGCATTATCTGTCAGGGACTGGAAGACACTGTCCAGAAAGTTCTTCGGTGGAGCTGGTGGCTCCTCGGGAGCAGGCGTGGGAGCAGGTGCCGGGGAAATAACCGGTTCAGGGGGACCGCTCAGGAGCCGAGAAAAGAATCCTGGTTTTTTCTCTTCCGCGGGATACTTTTCCTCCAGCATGCCCTTCATCCACTCAGGTTCTTCCTCTTCCTTCAAAATTTCATCTCCAGTTTGTAGCTCTTCTTGCTTGTTGCCACCACCCAGCAAACTGCTCAAGAAACCACCTTCCTTTCTCTCTTTTGGTGTCATGCTCCTAAAATATTCATCCCTCTTGGCTTCAGCTTTTCTTCTACGGCTTGGTTTCAGATAAACAGAAGGAAAGGTGTCTGTGGGTGGTTCCCAAAGACTTTCTCCTGTTCTTGAGTTGAAGTAGTAGACAACACCAGTTGTTTCTTCATCCAGAAAGGCCGTCCATTCTCCCTCGGTAGCCAGAGGTTCTGGCGCACTGAACAGTTGACTGGAGGCTTGAGAAAATGCTTTGGAGAGCGAGGAGGTCGGACTGAAGGCAATTGATCCATGGAGGGAAGAGATACAGGCCAAGATGGCCAAGAGATAAGGAGTTGAATGCATGGTGTCGGGTGCAGTTGTGTTATGAAGGTAACCCACTAAACCAGGACGATGAGCCAGCTTGCTAGCCAGATTCACTCCGCTGGCGGTAAAAGTGAGCTGTCGAGCTGTCCAGAGTCCAGAGGTGTGCTGGCCATGCGAAGAGATCTTTTCCTCACCATCTTTGCTTTCGGTATCCTCGTGTTGGTTGAGGCCAGGGCTCTGGGAATACGTCAGTCATGCACGACCGCTTTGACCTCAGCTGTTAGAATTCCGAAAAATGCAATCACACCCACGGTACAACATGAGGTTGGCTCTGGGACCGTACCACCATCTGCTTCGAAGGTGCATGCGAATCTACAGTATATTATGGAGGTCCTCAAGTATTGTTTTATTTTTAGAGAATAAGGTTGTTGACAACGATGCGTTATCTACCGCCAGGTAGCTACCGAAGTAAACGAGCGAGATGTAAACCTCTAGAAGGGCAAGCAGCTATGTGCCAGTACTAGCTAGTAGCTGTACCAGTACCAAACCGAACGGATCATTGATGGATGGATCCAACAAAATTTGCAAGTCAGCACACAGGATATAGCTAGCTAGCTAGCTAGAGCTCATGTTCTTCTTTTGTTTGCGTATTGTTAGCAAAGCTACGCTGTTGTAAGCAGATCTGATGTCATGCTGTTGTGGCCCACTGCATCAGGGAACCTGTAGCGGCGATTCGATTCGGGATGCTCCGACGTACGGATAAGAAAGTGGGCCAGGGTCTATTTGACACTACCGTACCACAACGTCAGTGTTATCTGGCACCATACCATGAAAGATCCAATGACGAAAGAGAGATGGTCATCACGGTTGGATCGGGCCGTCTCTCGACGGCAACACTTTGCGGAGCTGTTCCCTCCTTGCCACTCACTGTCTTTCTGGACGGCTTGTTGTTGTTGTTGTTGTCGTTGTCGTTGTTGTTGCTGTCCCATGGGTTGCTTTTGTCGGCTTATTATTATTCGTATGATTTCGTTTTCTCGTTGACTGCTGATTTCGTGGCTGCTTTTGTTGAATATTCCTCGCCGACCATTCGAGCGCACGGGAGACTTCCTGTGGAGCCAGGATCCGCCATTGACCTTCCTGTTCAATCCCGTCGAGCGTGAGGTTATCTCCAATTTGAACTCGTTTCAATTTCATGACACCCGATCCCATGGCATGAAACATGCGTCGGACTTGTCGATTGCGTCCTTCGCCAATGGTTATCGAAACTTGTGTGGATTTGGGGGTGGGATGATCGAGCACCGTGAGGTCGATCACGGGACGAGTGACACCGCCATATTTGGATCCAATGTCCATGCCCTCGGTTCTCATTTGTTGGAAACTGTCGCAATCCTGTTCGTGGTATCCCATAATGACGGCATGGTAGGTTTTGGAGATACTCTTCTTCTTTTTCTTTTTATTCGCATTGGATTTGGCATTGGGATTGGTCACGTGATGAACCAATCCACCATCGTTGGTCAGTAGTAAGAGTCCCGTGGTATCGCAATCGAGACGCCCAATGGCATGCAGCTTGGAGTGGATTCCCGTGGCACGTTGCCAATTATTATTATTGTGTTGTGAATGTTGTTGTTGTGGGTCGACAATCACCCATCCCTTCATGGATTGAATATCGTCGTAGACAGTACTCCGTCGTGCGTGTCCTTCTGACAGGGCTTGTTCGTCGGAATGGGATGTAATGACATTGGCTGGTTTGTGATAGGCAATCACCACCGTTTTCTCTTTCTCTGTTGGCTCCCTATTATCAGTATTGTGGGGTATCTGACCAGGACGTGGATGTTTATGATTGGAAAACGCCGACGAGCAGACAACTACTGACAGGAGAATGAATATCCCAAGCAACACATGCCGTAGCTCACAACCTCTGATCATTATATTGTAGGCGGCAAAGGAAGGAATGGAGACAATCGATACTCCATCCATCCAAACAGAAGAACAACTTGATTGGGTTCGAAAAAATGAGCTTGTGTCAAAAGAATTTTAATCAATCACGGACGCATGGTCAGTCCTTCGCCAATCAGGTCATAGTCATTAAGGAGCCATTGTGCGTCTCCTTTCATCGTCGCTGCTCCAAAACCAAAGCAGCCTTGAATGGAGGGCACTTGTCGCCGTTGGCTCTTTCTTGGGAAGCAAGACCTTCCTCTACATAGTTGTTGTTGGTATTAGTAGTACTGAATTGTTGCTTAGTAAAGATGGCGATTGTGGACCTTGCCTCTCTCGACGAGCAGATTGAGAGACTCCGGGGAGGTGATACACTCACGGAAAATGAGGTTCGAAACCTCTGCGAGAGGGTAAGTCAAGCCATGACGTAGCATTCCTTCGCCTCTCAACGGATAGCCTTGGCGGAAGCCGAACAACACTACTAGCTAGTGAGAGACATCTTGTTATCTTGTGTTGTTGTACGCGCTTGGCCTGAATTGGGGAGAATTTTGCCTTGTTTTGGGTATAACCGAATATTTTTGTTGGTTTTTGGGTATCATCGACTCACCTTTATTATTATTATCTTCTGTGTTTCTACCATGGTATTCCTTCTATATGCTCCAGGCCAAGGAAATTCTCCAAGGCGAATCGAACGTGCAGCCTGTGAACGCCCCCGTGACGGTCTGCGGAGACATTCACGGCCAATTCTACGATTTGGCAGAACTCTTTCGCATTGGAGGCAAATGTCCCGAAACAAACTACCTATTCATGGGAGACTACGTCGATCGAGGGTACTACTCCTTGGAAACCGTCACCCTCCTCGTTGCATTAAAAGTCCGATACAAGAATCGCATCACCATTCTCAGGGGAAACCACGAAAGTCGACAGATTACCCAAGTCTATGGCTTTTATGACGAGTGTCTGCGAAAGTACGGCAATGCCAATGTCTGGAAACACTTTACCGATACCTTTGACTTTCTACCCATGACGGCTGTCGTCGCGGGACGCATATTCTGTCTTCACGGAGGACTGTCACCCTCCATTGATACCCTCGATCATGCACGTGATCTAGATCGAGTTCAGGAAGTCCCCCACGAAGGACCCATGTGTGATCTCGTCTGGTCCGATCCCGATGACCGGTACGTTGCTGTTTATTCCAAAGTTTTGGTTTGGTGTGGTTGGAATTATTGGAGATTGTTGGTTGTTTTATATTTTCGTGATCTCACTGTGTCATTTGTGTTTTCCAATCTTTTTGTGCTCGCTTTAGTTGCGGTTGGGGTATTTCGCCTCGGGGAGCTGGTTACACCTTTGGAGTCGATATCACCGAACAGTTTACCCACATTAATGGACTCTATTTCATTTCAAGGGCTCATCAGTTGGTCATGGAGGGATACCAGTGGCAGCATAATCGATCAGTTGTCACGGTTTTCTCGGCTCCCAATTATTGCTACCGATGTGGTAATCAGGCCGCTATTATGGAAGTCGATGATACCGTCGAAACCTGCGCCAAGGATAACGTTCATGATCATTGCAAATTGTACGTACACTTACTTACATGCAGGCGGTTTAGTTGGATATTGTTTCACGTTTTGTTTGCTAACTCACTTGCGCCTCTCTACGTTTTGCTTACGATTCATTCGATTCTTTTCTACCCAAACAAACAACAAAAACAGCTCTCAATTCGATCCGGCACCTAGAGATGAAAACTGGCACAAGAGCCCACGAACTCCCGACTACTTTTTGTAATACTATCTTGACTCGGTGGAATTATCATTATCACTGTGGCCGTTAGTATTCATAGCACTGAAACTAACGAGATAGAGTCCCCCGTTTTCCCGTGTATGTATCCACACTTGGAGTTTTCTCATTTAATGTCTAGTTAGGCAGATACTAGTAGTTATTTGGTGCATTCGTACGAGACTAGCCAGCGGCTCAATCCACTGTTCAAGGGTTGCTCTTGGGATTGCAGGAACTTCATTCCGGCCCGTTCTGTCTTTGCCTGACTGGGCAACACTTTTTGAATGTCCACTGTTGGGTTGCAGGGAACAAAACAGACCAATCTTCCACCAACCTTTAAAAGTCGGCGACCCCGGTCACGGTCGTGCTCCAAGGCCGTAAACAAGTCTTCCAGAGGCGACGGAGCATTGGCGTCCATCTTTTCGCGGATTCCGTACGGTGGATCTGTAATAATGTGGTCAAAGGGCTCCTCGCCAATGGCGGCTCGGGCCCGATCGCGGACCATGGGGTCGATAGAATCGCCCCGAAAGATGGCCTTTGGGCGAGCCAATCCGCGAAACTCAAAGTCTTGCAGAATGTGATCGCGGTTGATGAGGCCGTCATGGGCAACGTCGACACCTACCGTTTGACAGGAGGGTGCCATCATGGCTGCAGCCAACAGAATGGCACACGAACCCGAGTAAGGATCCAAAATAGTTTGATCTGTCGAGACACCGGCAATGTTGCACAATGAACAGGCGGCTGTGCGGGCGAGCGGGCGATAGGCAGCGGCAAGAAGTGATACGTCAGAGGAACAAGGTCCAGGTCTTCCCATTGTTGACACTGCCTTGACACAACTGACCTATTGGTTCCAGGGGGGTAGTGGTGACACAAATCCGAGTGGCTGGAGCAATTGAGAACAGCTAGTTGTTGTGTTGCGTTGTGTAGGCGGAGTAGAAAGCAGAATATCAATGGGTCACCGGTGAAGCGATTGTAAAGGAAAAGCAGCTGACAGACTCTGCACGTACCTTTGGAAGTCCCGTTCCCATTTTCCGTGCGAGCACCTTGTTGGCGCTACCGGTGCCATCCAACCCATCAAAGACATTTATTTTGCAATCAGGATCCTTCAGGTCCACACCTCCACCAAACTTTAGCAGCATCGGCTTGAGAGCCAGCAGAGCCTCCTTTTCCATGGTACAGGATCTCGTTCGGGTGCCACTGCGTCTCTCCTTCTTGGAATCAGCTTCCCCGCCATAATGGCGTACCCTTACTGCCCAGGTATCTTCCTGATTTTCACCCCCCGTCATCATGTCCTCAAATCCTCCGTTTTCCATGGCATGGACTGCCAGGTCACTGTAGGATTGACCCTCTGCTACCACTTCATAAATGGTGTGAATCAGAGCACATCTGGATGCTGCAACGGCAATGTCGTTTCTGCTAATCATCCACGGACCACCGCCATCAAGTCCGGCCTTGCCATGATGGGTGACCCATTGCATGGCAGAATTGAAGGCTTTCAGCTTGACCTCTGGAAGTTCCGATTCCCCGTTGTAGTTGAGAGCGTTGCAAAAGTGGATTGGTGACGAGTCCTCATGCGATTCCAGTAGTGGATTGTTGGTGACAGCAGCCAGCGCTCCAAGAAGTTCTGGGTGCCGAAAAGCAAAGCTATAGCCTTCGACATCTTCGCCTCTGGTAGGGAAACATAATGAGTTGCATGAACACTGGTAGGGAGAGATCAGGAGTCAAAACTTGCATCCTCACCTCCAATGTATCAGGAGCTTCCTCGGAGGCAAGCTAAGGCGATCCCCAACATGATGCTCTGTGTTTGTAGGCGTCGACTCAATTGTGGCGGATCGTGACATGTGCTTCCTCCTTGGAACCGTTGCCACGGATACGCCTTGAGAAGAGAATCCTGACGCAGGGATCATCTGGAAAACCTGCCAAGAGCAGAGGATGATCATCACACCTTCACAAGGCAGTCTCATCGTTACAAGTAAATTATATAAAGATATGCCTCTTCAAGGACAATGGATTTCACAATGTCGAAGGTACTTCCATTGAGTTTGATGTGTGGAAGAAGTGTGATGCCGACCAACTTTGTGGGGTTGTCGCAACTGTCATGCACCGTTGCCTTAGTAACCCTGTCCCTACGTGATGTTACAATAACGTTTTGACCGTGGAAGGCTGAAACCGTGGAGACACCAATAAGTTAGACCACCTTGATCCACGCGCCGTCTCAAATTGTGCTCAGCCAGTGCCGAAAGGTTGGGACCCTCTCACCCTTTATTTGCGCTTGCAGATCTGCTACTGGAGGTGGCCATCCGGAGATTTTGCAACAGGTACCTGCATTGCAGTCATTTGAAAGCATTCGATCATGACAGCGCCGTTCATGGGATGACGAAGCATGCAGCCGTGGCTCCCGCGAATTTGATGTGTTGCCGGCATTGATTTCACCCACAAAAACAAAACCTATATGCGTTAGAAAATCTAGCATACCAAGTTGCTACTGTATTATTTATAGGCTAAAATTGCCGGGATATCAAACAACTGTTTCTAGAAGCGGCAGATTGGAGCAGTTTGTGTTCTTGCCAACTCCACCTTGTGCCCAAAGAGATCTCGAATGTTCTTGATTCGATATTTGATCATCGTGGGACGTTCCAGAGAGAGCCCCCAAGCAATCACACGAACATTCTCGGGCAAGCCCATAGGTGCCAACATCTCCGGTCGAAACATGCCCGAGTTTCCAATCTCGGTCCACTTTTTCAAATCGGGATGGTATCCAAAGATCTCCATGGACGGCTCGGTGTAGGGGTTAAAGGCCGGTTTGAAACGCAGCTGCGTGATACCAATCTTCCTGAAGAAGGTTTCAATGGTGCCGATGAGATCTCCCAGAGACAGATCGTAGTCTGCCACCAATCCTTCTACTTGATGGAACTCGCACAAATGCGTGGCATCCATGGTTTCGTTTCGGAAGACCCGATCAATCGAGTAGTACCGTGCGGGTTTGAAGCCTCCTTCTTGGTTGGCCAATTTGTAAAGCATCTGACTGGAGATGGCGGTTGTGTGGGTTCGCAGCAAGTTTTTGAACGCTTCCTCTCGCTTGAAATCGTAGCGGTATCCAATGGATCCAGATCCTCCCTTTTCGTGCATCGTTTTGACTCGTTCGTAGTACTCCTCGGGCACGGAAACAGTGCTAGCAGGTTCCTTGATGAAGAAGGTATCATGAGCATCACGAGCAGGGTGAGACTGGGGTTGGAAGAGTGAATCGAAATTCCAGAACGAAGACTCGACCCATTTGTTGGTGGGCATTTCGTGGAATCCCATCTCCATGAGAATCTTTCGAAATTCAGCTCGAACTTTCAATAGCGGGTGCAGATAGCCACCCCCTACTTTTTCTCCTAATGTCAAGAAATTGTAAGGCTTGAAAGGGGTATCCTTCCATGCGCCCGTTTCCAACATTTCCTTGGTCAGATCAGCTGCCTTCTTGACGCGTTTGGGGGCAAACGAGGCTCCCTTGGTAACTTTGAAGGATTTTCGGGTAAGCAGGGTAACCAATTTTCGCTTCTTCAAAGCGTCAGTCGTCTAACCAGAATCCAAATGGCACAAGAGTAATGGATTAGAAACACTGTCACAAGCAGGAAAAAGGTATACCGAGTAGAAAACATACTTTTTTGTCCAGATCGGCTAGACTTTTCAATTGATCCTGGACTTCATCTGTAATTTCCTCGCTTTTCGCAACGGGAACCAAGTCTCCTCCGTCCTTCTTGATCCATTTTTTCTTCATACAGTTGCCCATTCCAATTTTGGCCACATCTTTGCCAACGGCCGCTTGCAAGTCAGGGATACTCATTTTTCCAGCTCCCTCCAAAGCTTTCAGAACAATTGCTTCCTGCGATCCATTCGCCAGCACATCCTCTCCTTCCTTGGTGAGCGCGAGGGAACTTGCCGATAATGTCTCCGTGACGACGAAACCATCTGCTTCCAAACTCTTCAGCGCCCCAACAACTTTCTCGTGACCCAACGATGCGCCTTCGGACCATGGAAGGGTATCTTCAATCACAGCATCATCAGCCTTGGCCAAATGAGCCAGGATCGCTTCTTCACAAGCTTCCGACATGGTGGTTCTTCAGTTTTAGAGGGCTTTGGACAAGGTACCGGGTAGTAATAAGGTCTCCGCTACAAGCAAAGATAAAAGGTCTGCAAGTCGCGAGACGGGTAGCCTTGATGGGTGGGGGTTTGATCTTTGAACTTTGTGAGCGGTTCTGCGTGGAGGCAGCTCGTGGTGCCACGGGCGACAGCCAGACCTCAGTACTGTAACATGTGCCGAAACAGCTACTTCGGGTTTCCACGGTACTACATTTAGTACAGTGCGGTTCTATCGGTGGTACCATAGCCAGGACACACATGCTGGGACAAGGTACGGTACAGTACAGTATTGCACGTAAAGAGGTTTTAAAAGTAGGGAACCATGGTACTGATATTGGCTAGTGTAGCCCTGGCTGCCGGTTGCTAGGCTAGTAGAGCTACATGAAGCGAGTGACAGTCGCAGGGATGCTTCTGCAGTTGAGTTGGTCCAGAGGCAGCATTGCTATACTTCTACGATTTTGAAATGTAGTCTCATTTTCATCCACCGAGAGCTCCAAGCTCCCAGCAGAATACTAGCAGAGATCTTCAACAATATGAAGGCAATGCCTGAAATTGGATCGAAGGGTTGGCTGACTTGACTGGTCGGAATTCAGGGTGCAAAGAGAGACTTTGACACCGTAGTACAAAGGAAAGGGTTGATAGGTAGATTGTTGGAAAGGAAGAAAGACAAAACTTGGCCGTCCTCGTGCATCACAGCCGCTTAAAATTCTCTCCTCCCGTATTCAGCTCAAAATCGTCCATGAATTTATTCAGATCATCCTCCTCTCCGTCATCTTCTTTGACTCTGCATTCTTCATTAATGTCGATTGCCTCTTCTCCTTCAGCACCACGAGCATAATGCTCTCCACCTGTTTGCATCCCAAATTGATCGAGATCATTCATAACATCGTCTACGGTTGCCGCATTGTTGGTGGAGGACGCCAATACTTGTGACCCATCGGCAAATACCCACGTTGTTCCTTGTGGCCGACTTTCGTCTTGTTGTGATAAGACGATGGAAACGGGTGTATTTCCTGGTAATTGGTTGGCGGAATTGGATTCTGCGGATTCGGTGCCTACATCCTGGACCAAGTCACAGACTTCTTTCCGTATTGCCTCTCTTCGCTTGTCTCGTTTGGCTTCGTCATTGAGTGAATTCAAGTGTTTGCTTTGCAAGAGTTCTTGCGTTGTAGGCCGTCGTGCGGGATTCTTTTGCAGACAAGTGTCGACGAGAGATCGAAACGAAGATGACCATTCTTCATCCACCACGAGTTGATCCAAGGCATCATCTCCTTCGTCTTCTTCGTCATACGAGTCCAAATTCGGTGGATCTTCTTGGATGGTGAGAATCAGTACTTTCATGGGAGGGTATTTGGCATAGGGCGCATACCCTTTTGCCAACTCCAAGGCAGTGATTCCTAATGACCAAATATCCGCTCTGTAGTCATACCCGTGAATTTGTTCCATCACTGAATACGTACCGTGCAACCACCAAATAAATGGACAACGGATCATTGAGATTGACCAACGTTTAAAGTTAAACACACGGAATTAGAAAATGATCGAGCAATCCCAGTGCTGGAAGAACCCCACTCCAGACCACATAAACAAGAACTTACCTTCAGGAGCCTGCAAGGAGCAAGCACAAACGATAAGTGAGATAAACCTTTCCTATTGAGGCAGCATGTGGACCATCCCAAAAAACATCCAAAAGAGGTACTCTTACCATCCAACACGGCGTCCCCACAAACGTCTTTGCTCTATCTTGTTTTGAACCTGCTTGTTCCAACCACCCAGAGACACCAAAATCGGCAATTCTAACATCACCATTACCATCCAAGAGTATATTACCAGCTTTGATATCTCTGTGAATTTGTCCATTGTCGTGAATGTATTTGAGTCCAAGGAGAGTTTCATGAAAAATGTAGAGTATGTGGTCTTCCATTCGGCAGCCTTTATTTTCATCTCGGTAACGCCGCCGTGCGGATTGTAGAGAATGCAGCGAAGATCCTTTTCTCATGATTTGTGTGACCAACCAGAGATCCGTCTTTTGGACAAAGGCCGTATGGCATGCCAGAACGTTGGGGTGTGACGAGAGCCGCATGGCCTGCACTTCCAGACGAATCTCGGCCAAGTTCGAGTCGACATGATCGAGATTCAGGACCTTGACGGCACAGTCACGGCTGCTCTCTTCTTTGGTTCTGGCGCCCCAGACCGATGCAAATGCACCTTGACCAATTTTGCCAATGAGCGCGTAATGAGAGGCGTCTGTGGGCCATTCGGAGGGACCTGACATGATGATTGCCTTGTCTTGTAGTAGATTGTTAACTAGCTAGCTAGATAGCAGCCTCTGGTTCAATGGAATGGAATCGAATCCGTATATTGATTCTGCCAAGTGAATGGTGCAACAAAAGGGGAAATGTATGTATCGGAATGAAGGCTCTTCCCAAGACTTGATCTGTTCGGACACTGCTGCGCGAAGGACGGTGGATGGGTACAGTATCTATCTCGCTCCAGCTACAAGCACCACCTGGTTCTTCCTGTCTCGGGCACTCTAGTAGTACCAGTAGATAAGTGCAACACTGTCCACAAGCAGCAACTAGCCATCTAGCTAGCCAGTCAGTGTAACACAAAAGGATGGTTATGGTTATCTTCATGCAGCTGCCAGCTGGTCCTCTACTTTTTGGGTTGGTGCTGTCTCGATCCCAAAAAGACACATTCGAGACTTTGCTTTCCATAAGTCTTTGAAAACCTTGCCAAAGATCCATTTCCAGTTTCTCCCCAATGGCAATGCAAGGACGGTCTCCCTGTCCACTACTCAGTTTCATTGTTTGTAACATCATACAAGTATTACACCAAGGAGACCATGTCGAAACCAAACATTGCATCTCCTCCCGCCTCGCGAGGGATGACACCGGAAGAAACTCTGGAGCAGCAGCTCACGGCCATGCTGAACAGTCCGGGGGAGGAGTTTTCCGTGGCAACCTACTTGAACCTGGCATTGGACGATTCGGGGGAGGACCTCCAACAACGCATGGCCGAATTGGCCCTGCAATTCCAACTCTCAACCCAAAGTTGTCACGAAGAAATTGGACGCATTGGTGCCGAATTGCAGGCCATTTTGCCACGATGTCATGCCGATGTGGGACGTGTCGGGGTCGGATTGGATGGCATGAAACAAGATGCGGCCGCATTGTTGGAGAGCACCAGCATGAAGAGTGAAACGGAAGAAGAAGTCTCGACGTCCCTGGAAACCCTGAGTACGCTGCATGCGCTGCAGTCTAATTTTTCTCGAACCAAGGAAATTTTGACCGCCGCTGCCACGTGGGATAGTACTCTCTCATCGGTGGCTCCGCTATTGGCAGAGCAAAATCTGACCGAAGCTGTCAATGCACTCGCTCAATTGGAAAATGGTGAACGAGCGCTGCGAGGAATGCCCAATCCAGAAGAACGCCACGAATCCATTGCCAAAATTAGACAGCAAGTGCAGGTACTTCTACAGCCTCAGTTGAAGCACGCCCTTCAGAATATGAACACGAGACTGGCACCACTCCAACAATGCGTCAGTCTCTACATGAAACTGGGGAAAATGGATGCTCTCAAAGAGGAATATGTCAAAAATAGACCACTCGCCGTCCACAAGGCATGGTTCGACTACACGCCCTCCTACGAACCCACCGGTGGAGCCAATGCGGCTGCTTTGGCCGAAGGAGGTGGCACCGACGCACTTCGCAATCAGGACAAGGTTTCCAATTTCTTGACATGGCTTCCAGGCTGGTATGAGACAGTGTTAAATCTCATTACAGAAGAAAGACGACAAGCATTGGCCGTCTTTGGTCCAACCATGGTCCCTGAGATTTGTACCAAAGTCATCCAAGAATGCTTTCGTCCCATTTTGCCATCCTTCCAAAGTCGACTGGAATCTTTGTATTCGGCCCACCTAACCGGTCCTTCCAAGGGATCGTTGGAGAGTATTTGTGCCGTTTACGAGGCAACACTGCAGTTCTTGGCGCTCGCATATGAAAATGTTGCCGGTGGATGGCTCGATCTCATGGAGTCGTCCAATGCCACTAACATGGAGGATGTCAATGGCCTTGGTCTCTACAAGGACATGACGGCCTTCTTCTTTCAGGTAGCTTCACCATTTGCTCTCTATCAGGAGCGACTCTCCTCGCTAGAAACCAAGCATTCCAGTGTCGCGGCAAAATTGGTGGCGGATGATATCAAACAAGCTGTCAGTGCCGTTTCGGAAGGAGGATCGGCCGACCTCGCATGTTTGCAGGATGCAACAGATCGACTCAAGGGACTTACCACATTTGTCTTTCCCTTGGCGGAGGGTGCTCTGGCCAGATTTGAACTCATGAATGGCGGTTTTCATGTGGAGGAATCCCTTACCAGCGTGGATGGGCTGATTGCAGGGCATGCCAGTAAAATTGCCAGTGCAATTCAGTCCTTGTCATCGTCCATGACATCGAATGAAGACAAACTGGCCGACAATTTTGATGACCAGCACGTGCTGTGCGCACTCGAAGTGTTGAAGGTGGCAGGATCCTTCAAGCGGAGAATGAAGGTGTTTGAAGGCAAAACACAAGAACGAATCAAAGTCTTGGCAGAAAGAATGGCAGCGTTTTCAGCCAAAGAAAAGAAAATCGAAGACACGTTGTCGGGGGCAGCCAAAACAAGCAGCGATGGTCCCTTCACGCTGCCTGATGCCCTGTCGGTTGTCGAGATTGACTCGTTCTTGACCAAGGCTGTTTGTGGAAGTGGCGACAGCCACGTGGATGAGGATGCCAACAATGTCACGTTGGAACTCCTGCAACGGCTGGCGGGTGTCTCAACCGACAGCGCTGTGCCAACTGAGACGCCTGTAGTACTTTACAAGGAAGTCGACGCAGCAATGATAGCGCTTACAACCAGCTGTCATGCGTTTGTGTATGATGTTTGCTCCGCCGTGCCTCGTAAGCACCTGCGTGGCATCTCCACCATGGCGTCTTGGAAGGAGGAAAGTGGCAACGATGACCTTGCGTCGTATGGAACCCTGCCTCAAACCTACATCACGCAAGTCGGTAAGAAACAAAAAGTCGTGCTGACTATCTCTGGTAGCTTTGTTGTAGCCATTCCGGTCTCACTCATTCGTTGTCACCCGTTGCTTCCAAGGTGAACACATGCTTGCATTGGTGCAGGCCCTGGAACCGTTTGCGTCGGATGCTGAGGCGCTTTCTCTTGCCAATGAAGTCATGGATGGAGTTCGCGACGTGGCGCTTCAGTACTGGCGCGAGTTTCTGGCATCGGCTGGTTCCATGGAAAAGAACGATGAGATTGTGAAGACACTGATGAACGGAGAAGAAATCCTGGATCTCGTGATCAGTGCGATCCCCCATGAGGAAGACGAAGAAGATGAGGAGGAAGACGAGGCTACGAGAGCCAGTACTGCTTTCTGCAACGCCTGGTTGGATGCTGTGGGGTTGTCCGTGACTGGGCGTCTCTTGGAGCGCATCATGCGTATTCCTCAGTTGACCTCGAAAGGTTGCGAGCACCTTTCATCAGACCTCAACTACATTGTTAATGTCTTTTCGGCGCTAGGCCTCGACGGTCATCCTCATCCTTTGGTGAGCCACGTTGCCGAACTCTCCACACTCGACGGAGACTTGTTCAAAGAACGAATCTCGAACTGGGACAGAAGCGACCCGACACAAGCTGCTATGCAGTGCATCGAACAAAGGGTAGCACTCATGAGAGGCGTTCATTAAGGAAGTGTCTCCGATTGCAGTACATGTAGCTGAGTACGCGCGTAAATTAGAGTACTAGGCGTAGTTTAGGTTTAACAAGAGGATTGCTTATTAAACTGTTCTTAGGGACTCTTCGACTGCCCGCATCCGACGGTTCAAGTCCGACATGCCTGCGTCCACCTTTTCTTCCAATCTTTGCAGGAAGTGGAGCACATCATTCAGCTTCTCGAGGACAACGGAGTCATTGGGATTGCTTCTGGGTTCTACCGGTACTGTGGTTGCTGAGTTCATTTCTTGGGATGATCCGAGCGGCAAGGAAACAGATGCTAGACATAACTGCACATCTTCCACACTGGAAACGTTGATTGGCGTGTTCGCAGCAGGGCAGTCTTCAACTGCCCACGGCTGTTTGGAGAGAAGAAGCTGGAGCTCTGCAGCAGGATTCTCATTTCCCGATCCAGGCGAGAGAGAAATTGCTTTGACAAATAGATTGCACCCATCCCTTTCCCGTTTGATCTTGTCGAGCACAGGCTTGATATCGCATCGCGTCATGGAGACCACTCGGAGAGCATCGTCTTCATTCTGAGTGCAGCAGATCTCCGCCACAGAAATCTTGGACTTGGCATCCAAGCCATCACTGGTGGCAACATAAAGTCTTGATGGCCCCTCATTGTTGGCACCCCATTTCAGCGATGCCATGTCAAATCTAGAAGCAGCAAGTGGAAGAGGAGCGGTCGAAATGCTAAGCTTCAATGGGTTCGCGCTTTGCTTATCACGCGGCATACTCGTGCTGCAACCGGGCTCTGCTGCCTGCTCCACTTTCACCACAATGACATGCGAGGCAGTATCAGGATTGGGTGCTGACCGCCAACAAGCGTCTTCCTTCGTCTGTGATGTAGCAGGACAATGTATTCTTTTTAGGGCGCTCCGAGGACCAAGCTGATTGGTTGGGATTGGTGTACGAGCAGGGGTCATTCCTGACCGTAGCATTTCGAAAGATTCTTCATCGTGGCTTTGATCGAGGATGAGGGTGCTCAATGGCGATACATCGTTCGAGGAGGATGCAAACTTTCCTGTCAAGTCGAGTAGATCAGGATCGTTTTTTACCGCTGGCGATGCAGTCGAATCATGGATCGGTGCCAATGATGGGGTTCCGCCCACGAGATGCAAGCCGACCAGTGGCGACGTTAAGCTCAACATGCTAGCATCAGTCATCACTGGCGACATTGTTGTTGAGGATTGATCTTGCGGATTTGTCTTCATTGAAATAGTTTCTTTGGGTACTGATTCTCCAGGAATCCCGTCATCCATGGTGGCCGCAGTGGCATGGGGGATGCCGTTGCTGGACTCTGGCGAGACCACGCTGATGCCTCCCACTCGATCTCCGCGGGGATCACGGTCAACGGTATCTGTAGATTGCTCTGGCTTTGCAGCTGGCTCCGGTTTCTTTTCTGCTTCAAGGCCTAGAGGCAGCCCTGTGCTACTTTTGGAAGAGAAGAAATCGTTTCCGGCTTGCGAGAAGAAGGGAGAAAACGAAACTTTCCTCCGCGTCGTCAGGAATCTTGGAGTCTCGGCTGGATATGCTTTGCTGCTAAAAAAATCACTCTCGCTGACGTCTTTGGGACGACAAAGAATGGCAAGGCATCTGCCGTCACATTGTACCATCAAGGCCTCACCAACCGATTCAGAAATGCTTGGATGAGCACAAACACCAGCAAGCAATATTGTTTGCATGTGGATGTTGTTACTGCAACTCTTCCTTCTTTCTGCTTGCCTCATTGGAATCAGTTTCAATTCGCCAGCCAACAAAACAGACACTACCAAGGTTTCCCCCCTTTCCCGTAGCGCGTCACCAAGAAAGCAAATGTTCTTGACATAGCTGGCGCCTTCATCAGAAAGAGAGTGGTTTAGCTTTCAAACAAACGGGCAGGTTTCCTTAGTTGGCTTCCTTACCCTTTAAAAGATTCCATGAACTAATGCTTGACAAATTTCGGGTTGTTTCCTTTTTGTTTGCGGAATCGTTATTTTTGTAGCAGCCAAACATAGGGCAAAGATGATCCTTGAAGGAGAATACAAACGCATCTACATTGTGCAGCAAGGGTGGTTTGCTCATGGAACCGGTTTCGGAGGAAGGAATCGAGGATGTTACAACTATCAAAGCAGTCTCTTGGGTATTATCAGCATCATTATCTCCCCAGGCGTTGGCTATGGAAACCACCCTACACTTCAATTCTCGCACCCTGCGACCCATGAGAGCATTGGAAGAGGCCACGTCATTGGTCTCCTCCGACAACTCCAAACACTCTGAGAGACAAAAGTTGTCGTCGCCCTTGACAAACACCAATGAAAAGACAGAGATATTGTCTGCTGTTGTCAGTACCAGTAGTATCCCAAAGGCTTCAAGTTTGGATTTGGAAGTGCTAGTTGTCAATTTATTGTCTTGAAGGTTTCCTGGTGGCAGGGGTAGCAGCTGCATTTTGGAGACCTTGTCATTAATTTCCAGCTGATAGGAGGTACTTTTTACTCGTTTAGAATCGTGGATCGTCAGCTCAATCTGATTGTTGTTGTCGGAGGAGGAAGGCAGAAAGATGGCTACATCCACCAGGGCTTTTGGTTGCCACTGGCCGCCTGATGACGTGGGGTATCCAAAAGTTGGCACTCGGCACCATTGGTCATCGATCAAAGAAAGGGACGAACTTGATAAGCGAGGTATCTGAAACTGAACATTATCATTGCCTCCTACATCCAATGACCACCGTAACCGGCAGTCAACTCTGTCTTCCATGGTGGCGGATTGGTGGTGGATGGTGTTGCCCAAAACAAAAAATAAATGATCTTGGGGAAGGGTTTTGAATTTACTGGTTCTTTCGGAAGTCTTTGGGTATGATTGGCTTTGTTGGCTTCAATGCTTCACGAAGGCCAAACAACCAACCAGCTTAACTGGCTTGATTACGTCACAAAGTCTTTCTCGCTTCCACAACACAAAACACAACACAGCAAACCAAAACCCAGTAAGACCCAAGATGGTGACGAGCGCCGGCGGCAACGATGGCGGCGGCTACAACAGGCCACTATCCATAGCGAACATCACGGATACTGCGTATTCTGTGGTACCAACAGGGACATACTTGAAGGGGTGCTTGGCGCTATCGGTCGCTCTGTATGTTCTGAATCAGAAACATTTTCTTCCAAGACCCTTGGCTTCCATTGTCAGCAAAGTCTTCTTTTGGCCGACCTTGCCACTGACAGCTGGAAAGCTCTATGGAAAATGGAGCACTGCCATTGACAATACCGTGGTTCTTGGAGCAGCGCCATTTGGTTTCGCCAATGTGCCCGAGCGACTTTACAATGAATATGGGGTGCGTAAAGGCCAATAGATATGGTAGTCATCACTGATTGGACAACATTCGCTGAACTCGTTTCTTTTCTTTACTTATGCATTGCAGGTTCGAGGAGTGATCAATCTTTGCGAAGAGTATTCTGGGCCTGACCAGCACTACCAACGATTGGGAATGAAACACTTGCGACTTCCCACAGTGGACCATTTCGAGCCCACCGTGGAAGATATGGAAAAAGCGGTGAGTTTCATACAAAAACATAAGGAAAGGGGTGAAAAGGTATACGTGCATTGCCGGGCTGGACATGGTCGCAGTGCTGCCATTGTCTTTGCATGGCTCATTTCCCAAGATCCATCGGCGGATCTGGAAGAGTTGAACAAGCAGTTTTATGCTAAGCGGCATGTTCGGAAAAAACTCTGGAAACAAACCAATATTAGGGAGTTTCATCGGAGACTGAGAACACGAGGAATTATTCACGGAAGAAGGATTCTGAAGGGTGTGTCGGATGACGAAATTTCGGACGAGGAAGGCGATGGAAACAAGGAACTGTAGGGTGGCACTGTCGCGTATGGGAGGGAGGGGAGAATTATCAGAGACATAAGTCACATCCGTTTCGAGGGAAAATGGCCATGGTTGGACCTGGAAGACTATGCCTATGGCCTTCCTTAGTCTCATCTCAGCTGGCACAACCGCACGATAATCTGCTAGCACCACAACCTTAGTAGTTACAATGAGATTGTTTCTGCTTGACATGGTTAACTCAAAATTGGGCTGCCTCTCGATGTTGTTGAATGGGCATCCGTTGTCGTGTTGAAGCTAGTATCTTCTCATCAATATCACAGGTAATAATGCTGGGAGTTTTCCGTTTACCTTCGTTGAGGTTTGTTGATTCAACGGTGCCTGGAGAGTCGCACCCTCCTGCATCAACAACTAAAGTTCCCCAGGGATCTACTGCCAACGAATGCCCTTGTGACAACAGAGAGCAAAAATTTCAACAGAGAGCAAGAAAAAAGCAAGGACCAGATCAAATAAATCAGCTGACCCATGCACTAGAACTACGAGGAGCTTGAGTGGCTCTGTGCAACTCACCATAACTTTCACGTTTGTGATTGTGCCTTCCATACTGGGCTGCTGCCAAGACGTAGCACTGGTGTTCAATGGCTCGTGCTCGGAGAAGTGTATGCCAATGGGCACTTCCCGTTGCTTTCAAATGGAAAATAAAAGAGATTAGACAAGAGATGCGCTGGGGAAGGGGGGCCATCATGATTTTGGCCACTACTTACGAACGGTAAAGGCAGAGGGTACCAGAAGTATCTGAGCCCCCATTTGGTTCACCAACGGAATGTACATTTCTGGAAAGCGTATGTCGTAACAGGTGGACAATCCCAATTTTCCAATGGGCGAATCACAGACGACCAGTTCCGTTCCGGGTGCCGTGGTATCACTTTCTCGTAGATTGACCTTGTCGGGTATATGAACATTGAACAAGTGAATCTTGCGGTACAAGCACTTGACCACGCCTTGATTGTCCATGATAATGTGTGTATTGTAGACGCGTGGCAGATTAGAGCCTTCTGCAGGTGGTGCCCCTGCGATATGCATCCCTCCACCAGATATCCAGAGTCCCGACTTGGTGGCAATGGTCTTGAGGGCATCCAGAATGCAAAGGTTGTCATTTGGTACCGTAGATTCATCCACTGATGTTTCTCCATTGGCAGCTGCTGCCACGGTTGTTTCTAACAACTCTGAGATAGAAGCATCATTGGCATATTCTACCGGAACATCACCTACTACCACGGGTGGGTCGGCTTGTTCGACCGTTTGCCGTCCACTCTCCCCAATGAATCCAAAACATTCGGGAAGAAACAGTATGGAAGCTCCTTCCCGCTGGGCCCATCCGGCACACTTGGCAACATTGACGAGATTGTGGAGTTTGTGGGAGGTGGAACAGAGCTGGGCTATGGCAGCTCGTCGGGGTTGACTAGTAGTATGGCTGGACATGGCTCGAACGGTAGCATATCTATAGGATGAGAACAAGCAAGCTCCCCGGACAAGGAAGCTACGGCAAGAACGTGGATGATACAACATGCAGCAGGCTCGACAGGGTGGACTGTTGTCTGTCTTCACAAACACACTAGCTAGTATCAACAGCGCAACAGCGTTCGTTGTGACGCAAACAATGAGAAAGAACCTAAAAACTAAAAACCATAACCCTCAACGGTATCTTTTGAAAATATCTTTCCTGTTGCGGTTGACACTTCCATTGATCCGTATCTTGATCCATGCCAACAGGGTCTATGTCTTGGCATTGAGAGCATCTACTGCACAATATCTAGATATGTTGGGACTCATGAAGCCTCCGACTATCCTCTCCTTGTTGCTGCTGTTGCTCCTGAGCAGCAGCTTGACTGCGGCCCTTCCAAGCCCCAAACCATTCCTTGCGTCCACTTTTGCCAACCGTCGAAGCCATGAGACCCCAAACCTCCTCCTTCTTCGAGGCGGTAGCCTAGCAGACACCAACAAAAAGTCTGGCATTACCCGTGGTGGCGCCGATGTCGACAAGAGCGAGACCTGGAACATGTCGGATATTCAGTCGCAAGATTTAGTCTACTTGGGCATTTATGGCATTGCCATGGCGGCCGTGTTCCTATACTGTCGCAACTTTACACGGTCGGGTGGACTGGCTGCCAAATGGATTACCGATTATCTTCCCGATCCGTATGCCACCATCATCATGCACGGCGCTTTCTTTGTCTTGGGATTGGTCGTTCCTTCGGTGATTCTACCCCCTGGATTGCGGCGATTGCTATTCTCCCCACAATCTGTGGCCTTGGTGGGGACGGTCTTTCCGGCCTATGAAAGTGTACGGGCTGCCGTGACCGATGGAGGGGCCGATGATCGGACTTGGCTCATGTATTGGGTCATTCATGGCATCTTTCAATACAGCACCGATTTCATGGATCAGTTGGCACTCAAATCCCAAGTCGTCTTCAAATACTGGCATACATTCGAGGTATTGGCCACCTTGTGGTTGCTCCTACCCATCACCGACGGGTCGACATTGGTGTACAAGACGGTGGCCAAACCATACTTGGTACCCGTGGTAGAACCCATCAAGAAATACTGCGAAGGTTGGATTGCCACATTGGCAATTACAACCATCAACGCTAGCTACATTTGGTGGTTCTCCTTCATCTTCATGTCTCTACCCGCCATGGTCAAGCGTGTGGCTTGCCTGTCGGTCGGGACCATCTTTCCCGTGGCTGCAACCATCATGGCACTCACCACCACCAAAGATGTTGGGAAGGAAACCATGAAGTGGCTCACCTACTGGCCTTGCTTTGGATTGCTCAACCTTGGAATGATTGGAGTCGAAAAGTTTATCGGCAGTTTCAAGGGACTCTACGTGGCAGTCTTGGCAGCTAACCTTTACCTCATGCTACCAATGACTGATGGGAGTACACTGGTCTTTCGGGAAGTTCTGGTTCCATTGTTCAACCAACGAGAGCTACTGCTGCTGCGAGATGCCAAAAGTTTGGCAGCGGACTTTCTAAAGCACATCCCGGATGACAGAAAGGAAGAAGTTCTGGCGGCTGCTTCCGAGGCTTTTGCAGTGCCAAAAGAATAGGTGCTTGCGGATAGCTACCGTATTGCAAGGTCCTGGCTTGCATTGTACGGTATCAAGAATCATGTGAATGGATCCTTGAACGAAGGTGTCACATGCCGCCGAGGTAGAAATTTCAACGAGTACTCTACCAACAAGTGCACCACAGCCACTATCGCATATAACCTACATATATATTTAAAGCAGCTACATACACCACGGCAATGGGAAGGCACGTCTTCGGGAAGGATTGGCTGGCTCAAAAGAAAGTACAAACAGCAAGTAGGTAACTAGCTAGCTCTATCATATCAATAATAAAGCATTCTTCGGATTGCAGCCCTTCATTGGATAGGACGCGTTGTGCATCTTACGTGTACTCCACCGCGAAGCCGGTGCATTAGATGTATGTGTTCCCGCTTGCTGTTCTGTGCTGTAGCTCCTGTCATGCTGAAACCCACTGAAGGGAAAAGAAGTACGATGGTCAACGGTGCTCTACCCCTGCCATTCTCTATGGCGCGCCGTTGTATGGCATGTACCTTGGCGGTCCTCTCTTGGTTCAAAAGGGACCCTTGTAGGCATGTTGACTCCACATTCCGAGAAGGGCTAGATGCCATCAAGTTGACAGACGAAGGCTCATTAAGCGCCGTCGTTTTCTGTGACGGGTCTCCATGCTTGTCCTGTGAACAGCCTAGAGACACTCATACTGGCAGTACCTGTTGGTCAGCAGTCTGGTGGTTCTGTGGTTTCACTTCATGTCATGCTTGGCAGTGAATAGCCATTGCGATTGCGATGCTGCATCCCCTGTGGCTCCATGTCATGCATTTCCACGACAACGCCCGGTTCCAGGGATGATGTTGTTGACGGTAATGTAGCTGTTGAATCATAGGTAGGTTGTCGTTCATAGGCAGTTTCAATGGGATCCACAAGGCTCTTTCGGTTTTTGTTGGCCACAAGGACCATGATGAGGCATAGTGTGGCACAGAAAAAGAATATATCGAGCGAGGCCAGTCCAACTGCCATGTCGACACCAGCTTCATTCAACGCTGTGAAAACCATGGGCGGAAGCCAGCTCAATGACTGTCCTGCAAGAATATACAGTCCCATCATTTCAGCTTCTTGTCCTCGTGGGACAATGGTGATGAATGCCGTCGAGTGCATGGGCAAGAGCCACCCCAAACAAAGTCCCCAAATCAAACCCGGAATGGGCATGTAAGCCTTCTTGTCGGGTCCATTCAATGTCAATGCCGCCAGAGTGGTGACAAGGATAAAGACAATGTTGCAGATTGCCGCAGAGATGATGGGATTGAATTTCAAGGCAATCCATCCTCCCAATCGACTGCCAGGTCCCCCCATTATGAGTACAGCGAGAAATGTCAAACCAATTTCGCTGGAATCCATTTGTAGGAATTGTTTCATATACGTCGTTGCCACTGTGATGAGAGTCCCGGTCGCCGCTTCTCCAAACATGACGGCAAAAATCATCCATTTCAAGGCAGGCAATTCTCGTACAATACGAGCAAACGTCCGACCTACTTTGCGAAATCCCACCGACAGCAAGGTCATTCCCTCTGGCACTACACTGAGTGCCTCTCGTTGTCGAAAGAACCATTTCCAACCAAAGTAAAAGACGGTGCCCGATGTACAGGTGGTTGTCACTTGACTAATGCGTGCCGTCCCAACATCATCCTGATTCAAGACATAGGACATGACTGTGACCCAGACCAAAAAGAGCAGAGTTGCAATGTAGAGTACTACCACAAAATACGTGTTGTAGGCTGTTTGTTGTGCAGCGTCTGTGGTCAAGTCGGAAGTATAGGACAGAGTAACGGTCAAGTGACCATTGTAGAAAAGAGATTTGATGACTTGAAGACACGCCACGGCAAACCACGTCTTGGAGGACACCATGGTTTCCGTAGCCATGACGACTACCAGTCCAGCGGCCGACGCAGCACCTGCGAGCCATCGATGAGGCGTGTGATCCACCAAGGCACCACAAAGCGGCATGGCCAATGACACGAGTACTCCCGAGACAACAGCAATATTGCTGAGAAGAGACGAGGGTCGGAAGCCATAGATACGGCCATCTTCCATACAGCATTCTACTTCTTCTTGTTTCGCGTAGGTAGAATCACAATTTTCTTCGACAGCTTGCGCTGCAAGTTCCAATAAAGCTGGTCCTAGAAATATGCTGGACATGAGAATGGTGGCCCGAGCAAATACGTCCATGGCCAAGCCGGTGGCTTCAGGTGGCTTGTCATCTTCGTAGCGGAACAAACGGGGGATATTGGAGAGCCGTCGCAAGGTAACTTCATCTGCCATGGGATTTGGATGCTCCTCTCGAAGTACCACTGCCGGTGGTGGTGGTAGACCTTCATCCGCCTTTTCAAAGGTCATTCTAGCTGGGCGACGGCCTAAGGAGGATGAGGAGGGGGAAGAGGAGGGAGTGGCCATGGTCGGGAAATGGATGGATGTCTTTATATACCGGGCAGACCCCGGTGATCTCTGACCCCGTTTATTGTGGTGGTGGTGGGTTTGGTTGGTTGGTTATCCTTAGGGTTAGAGATTTACTTCAACCCCCTCGTTCTCACGCATTCTCATAATAATCATACGGTAGCAACGGATCCTAATATTTTCCTCACGATGCCCACCTCTAAACTCCCGTAAGCTACCACGTCACTTTCTCAGATGGAAAAATCTAATGACTCACGTTGCACACCTCTAAACTCCCGTAAGCTACCACGCCACTTTCTCAGATGGAAAAATCTAATGACTGGCCTTGCACACCTCTAAACTCCCGTAAGCTACCACGCCACTTTCTCAGACGGAAAAATCTTACGTCTCACGTTGCACACCTCTAAACTCCCATAAGCTACCACGCCACTTTCTCAGACGGAAAAATCTTACGTCTCACATTGCACACCTCTAAACTCGCGTAAGCTACCACGCCACTTTCTCAGATGGAAAAATCTAATGACACTACCTTCAGCCAAACTTTAACAATATTATTATGCCGGCCCATCTTTTAATTCAGCTCGCCCGGTATATCTATTACACCTCCGGTGTCCTTTTTTCGGAGTGAGAAGTGAGAACCCTGTGGGAAAGTCTTTGATGAACTCCATCCCTAAGGTCCTCGTAGCTGCTTCTATTCCACGCCGTGGAGTTTTGTGCGGGTGTAAAAGCAAACTAAGCTGTTATTCCACGGGAACACGTCATCGGAACCCAAACTGTGACGATGAGCAAAAGTTTGTTTCCCACGCCCTCAACTTTTGCAGTTACAACATTCCTTGCATTGCAACAACAGCAACAAACAAGGTCAAAGACAGAGACCCTGCCTGACCATTAGTTGATCTTTCTAGGCCTCTTTGCCAGAGTTGAGAGAAGATGTTTCGATTCAAACTGCCATCAGGGGTGGCTCTCCTGTTGGCATTGGTTTTGCCATCATGTGCTGCATTTCGGCCGGTACCCCGTCATCTTCACCAACAATCTACAGCAGACACGCGACAATTCATGTTCTTTGCCGAAGAAGCCCCTGAAGGGAGTTTATCCATTGATATTGTGGCATCCGGAGATGACGAAGAGTCCATCAACCAGGCTGCCAAATTTTTGATCAATTCCTTTTGGTTGGATGCCCGCCATTTGGTCACCACGGGTGATGATGATGATAGCGCTGTCGTTGTTTCGGATAATGCCCGCCAATCGCTCTACGAACGGCAAGCGTCGGACCTTTTTGATAATTACGGAGAACGCATGGGAAAGACAATCCTTGATAGTGCGGTCATCAAAGCCGTGGATTCCAAAAATCCCGATGAAATCGTAGGCCTTGTGTGTGTGTCCAGTTTGCTATTTGATGGCAAGACGGAAACTCTACTGAGTCTCCAAGAATCAGAAGAACTTCTCAAAGCAGCCGTGGCGACATTGGGTCCCAAAGACAGAAGAAGATACAAGGATGCCTCGGCAGAAGATATCGCCACTGGTCTGCTGGGCAATGACATGGAAGCCGTGTGTTGCATATCCAACTTGGCCGTGTCACCCAGAGCCAGACGTACCGGTGTTGCAGCGCGATTATGTGATGAAGCGGAACGAGTCGCTAGTGTGGAATGGGGATATGAGGTCATGTTCCTCAAGGTGGAAGCCGACAACACTGCGGCACGGAACCTTTACGAGCAAAAGCTACAATACTCGGTAAAATGCAATGAGATTGCCGCCACGGCATTGCGAGTGGATCTGGAGAATGGACAGTTTGTAGAAACCGAGGCAGATACCCTCATCTTAATGAAAGATATCTAGCTAGCTTTGAAAGGAATCTGTAAAGATGCACGGTCCAGTAGCACTGCAGCTGTTTCAGCATTCACCAAGTGTTAGCTCATCTCCGACTTGCTCATCTTTCTCTTGACTGTCAAGTACTGAAGGCAACCCAAAGAATGACTGCATCAAACAGTCGTGATGTCTGACGGCAACAGATATACTGTACACCGCAGGTACAAAACGGGGATACATCAAATCAAATCGAAGAGTTCGTAGCATTCGACCTACGGCAACGACCTAACAGATGACTTTGCTACATTGCATGCGTCTATAACAGATGGATACCGGTAAGTTCTGCATCATCTTTGTTTTGCTCGATGTTACATAACTCTAGCTACCTACATGTAGTAGTAGTTGCAATTGTTTCTGATTCTATTTTCGAGTTCCGCTCATGATACTGTGCTTCTTGGTACACGGAATAAAACTGATGGTTGATTGTATGTATTGTGTAATCGTCGGGCTACCGCACCGCACCGTAGAGCTAGACATCCTTTCGACCACTACCTGGCACTTCCTTCATGGCGAACATGAGAACGTGTGCCACCTTGCCATTCTCAGTTTCCTCCACATCGGTTGCTTCAATCTCAATAGGACCTCCACCAGTAATCTCACAGGCGTCATGACGATTGAGATCGTTTCCGTTTACGTTGACCTTGCCTTCCAGGCAGACCAAGTAAGCTTGACGACCCTTTGGCAATTCATGCATTACTTTTTGTCCTAAGTCCATCTCGGATGCGAAACAATCGACATCTTGTGAAATCTTGACGGGAGTTTCCACACCCTTGTTGTCAACATCAGATACCAAATGTTGCAGTTGATTTTTGCGTCCTTCAGCACTTCCCGAGCAAGATCCGTAGTTGGGTTTGAGATCATACGCTCTGGGATTGATCCAGGTTTGAATAAACCTCAAAGGTTTGTCGCCATGGTTAAACTCAGAATGTACTACACCGTTTCCTGCTGTCATGAATTGGATACTACCACGTCCCAATGATTCCTTGGTTCCAATGCTGTCTTCATGGGTCAATTCTCCCTGAACAATGTAGGTAATAATTTCCATATCCCTGTGGGGATGACTTCCAAATCCACGGTGTGGCTGGACGAGATCATCATTCATGACCTTCAACACACCAAAGGAAGGATTTGCTGGGTTGCGGTATTCTGCAAAATTGAAATGGAATTTGGACTTGAGCCAATTTTCATTGGTCCATTCAGGGTTGAACTCGTCATTGGATTCATTGCCGAACCATCGGGGGTCTGGCTCGGAAACAAAGAGTTTCTTGTCGGGAATGAGCTTGATGGCGGGTGTCATGGTCGAAAATGCGTTGCTGGTGGATTGGACTGTCAAGGCAAAGAATAGCGAAGAGGGCCGTGTAAAGAGTCGGCGTGAACTTTTGGCCAATGCGTGGGAAAAAATCTTGATTCTTTAGACACTGAAAGAGGCTATTACTTCAGCGTTTTCTTTCTGGGTATGTTTGTTCTGTCATACGATTTTAGCAAAGAGTGACTGGATTAAGTAAATTTTACTGATGTGTTTGCTTCTGTTGGTTCGAGTGTTTCTCGAAATGGATTTGTGAGCAAAAGACGAGGATCGCATTGATGAAGTCGAATCTTCTTTTGAGTTCCATCGGCCGACAATGGATCGAGGTGAAGGTGATGGCTTCCCTGATCTTCTGTGGGAGCTTCGGTCGGGTTTGTCGGCGACTTGCCAACATTAACGCCGATGCCGGGATCTTTGGCCCCCCTAAAAAGACCCTTAACTTCCACACCCATAGTAATCCATTATTCATTCTTCCCCTTCGCCGTTTCGCCGATGGCGAAGCGGATGTCAGAAGGGGGGCGTCGTGGGGGGCGGAGGTACACATCGTACTACCGCTACCGGTACGGTATATTTAAATAGGGTTAGAGTTCAGTAGTTGGTGCTTCTTTTCTGTGGGGATTGAATTCCATAACGCTGACGCCCTTCATACCGGTACCGGTATCAAGCATCAGCCAAGAGGCAACCGACAATGCCACCACTCCCTGCCCTTTGTACCACCACAGACGGCCTGCTACATGCAGAGCCCCTCTCCCTCCTCTTAACATTTAATCGACGCTTCTGTTCTTGCAAGCCCCGTTGATGCAATGATTGATGATCTTTCCATTAACATTTCCATGAGAAAAGCAGTGGTGCGGGTTCCGAAGATAAGATCGGCCTCGGAATCATGGAAGTTCGTTCATGATTTGTTCTGGACTCGACAAGGGGAACACGATTTCGTCCCCTTGTTCGCCTTTGATATCGTTTCGTCATTTGGATACTTTCTGCCTACGCGGGCAGCTTCCAAAGACCCCACACTCCTGGAATGGAAGATTTCTTGGCTACAACGAATTCTGCCGGCGTCGTGAATGGTACAGGGGTTTGATGAACAACGTTGGCATTACAGGGAGTGTCTTGTTCACTGGATTCCTTGCCCTGCAAAGATTGTCTATTGTCGCTGGTCAGAAGTCTCGGATGTGAGGCGACTTGAGAAGATTGCCTTTGGGCCTTTGGATTCCTCTATCCCGTGACCACTGGAGAGTCTGCTTGCTGGTGACATACCAATTCAACCTTTTATGAGTACGGGAATCTGCTGGATCAACCCATATCCGTTTGTCTGCGACGAAATAGTGCTCCCTACATTCCAAAGCCCAACTAATCAGCTGGTTGGCTAAACTCGATCCACTGAGGAGATTCTATGGTTTCAGCCTGACACACTCAGACAATGTATCCAGAACCTGCTCAGCTCGTACGGACATTACCTACATCCAAGGATACCTTTGGCAATGGTCGTTACAGCTCTTCGCAGGACGAGACAACCCAGTACAGGGTTAGAAGCTCTCATGTGGTCTGTTATCGCCTTTTGTGAGCGCCGTGGATGGATTTTACTATAGCACTCAACCACCTGGTGCAGATAGCATACAAAAGAGTGCGATGTCATTGCTGAGAAGCAGGTGATACTGCTATCAGTCACATTGATTAGTGTGCAGTATGATCCGTTCAGAAGGCACAGCGAGTAAGGAGCTAAGTTCCGAGAGATATCGAAGAGAGGAAATTCTCAATGCTTCTCAACGTCACTTCTTTTTACAACTCATCAACTTTCTGTGGCCAATTCTAGCAGGCTGCTGTCGTCCGTAGTGTGTTAGAGATGTTTTCCTGTAGCAGGCATAACTCCACTCCAATGGCTGGGCTCGAGCAAGAACTCCGCTTTTGACTGCGTCTGTAGCTCGCTTGTGTTACAAGAAGAGATAACGCGGACGCGCTAAGATGTGGTGCTCGCCTCTGCTTCTCTATCAGCGGTTCTGTCCTACGTCAGGAGATGTTCAGATTGTCTATGAAGACTGACAAGGTACTCTATGTGTAAAATAGATGATACTGCCAACCACCTAATGCGCTCACCATTTCAGCATTACCGCGTAGAGTGAACAAGTCTCAGAACTAGGCTCGTACGTGTGACAAGGACGTGTGCGTCTTGCTGCCGCGCGCTTTGGTGGCCACACTTGCAACATATGGGCAGTTGAGCACTTCTTATGAGTGCTGGATCCTCAGTAACAGTAGACGCAGGACCAGTGATCCATTGAAGTGCTTTGGCGCGACCTAATTCGAGCCTCTCCAACGCCAGCGCGTCAGATACTCGCGCGCCGAAGACTATGCATACGGGTGTGGTGCAGAGGAGCTGGTCCACTTGGTCACCATTAGCGCTTCCAAGGCTGCTGGAGCTGAAGACTCCAAACCCAATGCTTCCCGTCAGTTGATCCAACCAGATCGAGTAGAGCACTTAATATCTCTATCGCAGTGCACGATGACTGTGTCCCATTGGCTGCACAGAATACATTGCAAACTATTCTTCGTACTTGGTATTGCGCTATGACATGTGGCTGAAATCCGGATACTTGGCTACAAGGAAGGCTACAATGCTCGATCGTCCGCTAAGTCGAGACCGAGATGAGCCGCACCGCATCCTTCGGACGTTGTGAATTAGACTGCAGAAATGCGCCATCTCTCTGGCGGAATCCAATGATCGATTCTTCTATCTGGCCGCTCCCGATGATCAGTCTGTGTCAGTGGAAGTGGCTCTCTCGATACAGAAGGAACGCGTACGGAGGACATCCTTAGTGTAGTCTATCAGATCGTGAGCATCATCGGGCTCTTCCCGTCGAGCCTCAGATATAGCAACCGCCCGCTGGCTGTGGACTATGAACATACAATTCAACAAGCATCAGCGACATAGCCTACGGCCCGCGGATCCATCGCACCTTCTCCGCTCGCGCAGGGAACGTTCTTGAGTAACCAGAAGAAGGAGTCTCATGTTCTGACTTTCACGGAGAGGTGTGATCTTGCTGTGTCCTTGGCTTGGCATCGAAGACCGAGAGCGACTCTGACTGCCAATAGGAGTGCTTTTTATGCGCAGCACCCTTCCCATGATATCAGATACCAAGAAATGATGGATCCGTTCACTTTCTTGGAGCTGGCCATAGCGATCCAATAGAGCGCTCTACTCAGGAGAGACTATGGAGACGAACTCTCATGTGCAATTGTCATAATTTTCCCTGGGGGCTCCGACTGATACAGCACCATAATTGCGACCAGCGCATGCGTTTGCGTCGACACTGCGTGGAATATTCAGAGTGGTTGTTGGTAACTTAGGCTAGATAAATTGACTTGCCGCAGCTTGGGACGTTCGGTCGAGCGAGCGCACACATGCCTTTCATGGTGTGCGCCAATTAATTGAGTTCTCGCTTCTACAGAGGAGTGCAACGGATCTCTTGATCGATTAAAGTATGAGGGCTCTTTCCGTGAGCAGGCCTTCTACTTCTCGAGAGCGAAAAGGCGGCATATCACCCTGATGTAGGATCAAGTCGGTCGGAAGAGATTCCGCAATCGTTTCCAGAGCCTTGCGAGGCTCTTCCCCGGCTTCCGTGTTTCTCAGTACTTCGCAGCCTCTATGTGTCGACTAAGTCGGACACTTCGAGACACATACATACCATGCAATCGTGTGCGTCTCAGGGAGTTGTCACAGATTGTATCCTATCTCGACATCTAAGTGATTGTTGAGCGGTTTGCGGTCGGTGGATGGGTCTGCGAAAGCCTGATCGCCTATCGCACGACTCAGATCATCGACAGGCTACTCTTTGCGATTTCGTCTTTTGGATGGAACGTGAGGCACTTGTCTACGCCGATTATTACGGCTTATTGGCACTCCACTTTTGGACTCTCGCCTCATTCGCCCTCAGAGTGGATGGGCGCTGTTTCGATGACTCGCCAGTGTATGTTGTGTGTGTAGTCTTTTCTCCCTCCTTCACTTTTCTCCTCATGCTATTATTGCGTCTTCTCTCTCATATCTTCATGGATGTCCATGCTCAGTGATGATAGGGTCGTAGCAGCTCTTCAGGGATCGTGGCTCGACTTCGTCATGTGGACGAATGGCTGAAGCAATGGGCTGTGCGTTGGATGATAAGGCCGCACGATCGCGACAGCCATAATGTTGCCATTTGACGATCTCGTTTGTCGTCTGACTGAGTGAATAATGTTGCGATCATCATCTGGGAGATGCCAACCTTCCAACTATGTGTCATGTTGGATGATGCTGGATCTTGCATAGACTATAATGAGGCACGCAGACACAGGAAGAACATCCTATCTCTTCTCTATCCTTCTCCTTCTT